GCCCAATATTGAAGCGTGGTCTGTATGTTATTCCACGCCACAACGCAACAGGGACAATCACGAACTAGCCATGGGTCTAGATACGGCTGAGGCGGTGAGGAAGTGGAAGAAAGTTTGAGCGACAACGGAGGGACATGAGGGACAAAAAGAGCGGGGATCTAGGTGGAAAAAGGCTCCCAGCGTTCTCACACCCCTCGCTCTATAGCTGGTCCAACTTCACGAGTCATTTTCCACAATGATGGTCATACAACAAAATAGGCCGGTAAGGTACCAAACAGGAAATACGCATAGTGTAGAGCTAATGTAGATTTGACCAATCAGAGGCCTCCTGTCTGCGGCACTGTCAGCGGTCTACAATTTTGCACCAGCGTGTCTGCGGAAGGGGCGGGGGCACATTTGCGTTCACTGCGACACACGCAGACGACCTCATATCTGATTATAAATCAGCCTTAATTGGTGAATATAAGAGTTGTTAAAAACACAAAAGGAGAACAGGAAAACATGAATGTCAGAGCTTTAAGATGAATACAGATTGTGAGTGGCAATTTACCCCTACTTGGAGGGAACGTCTGCCATATCTCTATTATAATTAGTGTAATAGCATGCTAAAATGTTGATTACCTTTACGTGCAAAGCACAGGTAGCTATTAGTCAAATTTAATTTAGTAGCAATCTTGGCGTTAGTTATCCTGCTTGACAGTACCAACATTTTTTTTTTAATCCAAAAGCAACATGAGATCATGGAGAATGAAAATCTGTATGGACATCATGCATAGCTGTGAAAATGTCTTGTTTTGTTGTTGTAATAACTAATATATGATCTATTTCTGATTCTATTAGTAGTGACCAAACACAGCACATCACACAAAAGAAAATAAATGGCTTCCCCTGTGGACATCATGCATAGCTGTTAATGTTATTGATTTTCTAGGCTGTAACCTGATCAATGATCTAAGCTGAGGCTTGTTCCATACTGTGAACAAAAAAAAAAATCTCTGTGATTTGAACATGCATGTGTTTTGTTCATTTAGGCAGAAAAAAATTGTCTTCAAAGTAACCATACAGAGTTCCAGCAACTTCTTATCTTGATTTTTTCCCCATTTCTTTCAGTGTTATGTGCTGTAAAAAAAAACATTAACACGGTAGACGTCTGCTAGAACAAAAAGCCTCTGATAATTATCCAAAAGTTACATAAATTCCTTTAAGAGACACAGAGATAAGTTGAATTTCAGAGTGTACTTTTGGTTTAGCTTCGTTAAAGGTGTAGAACTTTGGCAAAATAAACATATATGATGATAAATAAAATACATAATAAACAGTGGACACAAAAACATACATTGGAACTTAAGGGATACATTAGCATAAAAGCTCTCATTTTAAAAAACATTTTTTTTTCAGTGGCGAAAATTGGTGTGAGTATATTCACTCCTATAGATTTCTCATACTAGAATTAACTTTTTGACAATGCATAGCAAATAAATTAATAGAAGTAAAAAAAAAACAGATATATGTATCAGAATCAGAAATAGTGTAAAATGACATTCAGATAATTAGTTCCATCCTCATTTATGCTTGTGGCGAATACATCAATGAAATAAAAAAACATTCAATGCAATGATAGGAAAGAGATGGCAAAATATCATTCATTTCATTCTTCAATTTGGCTTAATTTTTCCTTCCCAGGCAGCATTAGTGAGTTTCTATAAATATACACCTGAGTCTGTAGGTCTTTCACTACAGCTTCCTACTTCGCCTCTTGTAAAAAGTACATTCCTTTACTTCTTTTTTTCAGGGAGGCATAAAGCATTCAGACTATTAGAGTAGGACCTTGCTCAGCTTGTTACTCTTAAGGAAATGGGCTTAGGGATGGTTCAATTCACTCAAAAATACACATAAAGGTTTGGACAAACATCAGCATTTTAACCAATATTAGATGTTTTTAAGTAATTTATCTTAATTTCAGTCAAACTTATTTCAGATATTTGTTTACATACTTGGTTTTTCGTATGAGTCAAAGATGAGCAGTTTTTAATGTATTCATTTTTAAGATGTTTAATTTTAGCTCTGGCTAGATAACACATAATTCTATTTTCTTGCATTGAGCTGTGTTTCCTTTTCGAGAAAGGATTTTGACATACAGTGGTCACCAATAGAATACCAGTAAAACTTAGCAAACATTTCTAAATATGTTTTGCTATTTAAATAAATAACCTAATTTAATTGGTTGTTTTAATTCTGCTACACATTTTCATGTCTTTTCCCAACTGTCACTAAGCATTAAGGTTGTTTTCCCAACATTTCACCTTAAAAGCCCGGAACTACATTCCATTTTTTACCGCCATGTATGCAGTTTTTATGAAAAAAACAAAAAACAATGTGGTGTTATGTGATTCTCCTGTAAATGTGATTTAATAATGCAGATCATGCTAAATTAATTTTTAATTTCTTTTTTTCTCACATCTTTTTGAGCTTCTGCTGTATTGTGCTTGGCTTTGACTAGTGCATGTGCATTGGGATCAAGGGTGTAGAACTTAGGTGGTTCTGTAGGATTTGGATCAACTGTCAATTTCACTTTCAGTTTGATCAAGCCAAACGATTAACTTATCCTTGATGTGTTTATATTTTACACTGTAATAAAAAAATCTATACTTAAACATGTAAAGGGTTAATGTCAGTGGTGGAGTTTGACAATAGATAACTTTATATGCCAACCCTGCAGGTGCTGATGATTGCTTTTAAAATGCTGTGCTCCAGTTATGACAGAGTGACAGAACAATTAAATTCAATAGAACTAAGCCAATGCTGTCATATCTACTAACATGAAAAACAGCTTTTAATCAGCAGCAGTTGCTTGATCTCTTGTCTACTGACGGCTTATACCAGACAAGACTTGGATCATATAAGAAAATGGTATTTAGATTTGGAGTCAGAAATTAAACGTAAAGGCTAGAGTTGCTCGTGTTAATTCCCAGTCATCCGGGTCATGGCAACCTCAAAACATGGTTAAATCAGAGGCAACCAGGTTTTTGCTTGGTTTTTCTGAAGATGCTTGAGTCCTATCTAGTAGTGTTTCTTAACTTTGTCAATTCGCTGTAAAGTAATCTGTTGTTTGAGCGCTGTTTCTCATCACAATGGAGACCAGCACCTTCTAAGTCTGATGGAAAGATTTTTTAAAGACCCACTCGTCATTGTCTTGGATTGTTGAGTCATTGGTTGTGTACGGGTTGTATTAGGGCATTTGAATCATGATGACAGTTCTTTGGATTGAGTCCCATAACCAAACTGTAGGTGCTTAGAAGCTAAAACCTCAGTCCTTTTAAGAAAAATGGCTTCCGTTACCTTTCTTTCAAATCATATGTCCTCTTTGTCCAAAATCTGAATGTTTTGGTCGTCAAAAGCATGTTCTTTATTCTTGAGCTGCAAGTACAGTATGCAGCAGAATCTTGCCTAGAGATACTGGCTCTCCTGTGCTGTGCCATGCGTTTTCCAAGATAGTAGTCTGAACAATCCTCGCTGCACTGGGCAGCATAAAGACTGCTGCCCAGCTTTGGTTTGGGTGTTCTGTCTTTGGAATGAGCCAGATTTTGTCTGATTGTGTTGTTTGAATTTTCACTGGCATGTTATGTTTGGGGCTGCTAAGTGGCACAGTGGGTAGCACTGCTGCCTTGCAGCAAGAAGGTTCTGGGTTCGATTCCTGGCCCGGGGTCTTTCTGCATGGAGTCTGCATGCTCTCCCTGAGCATGCGTGGGTTCTCTCCGGGTACTCCGGGTTCCTCCCAGGTTGATTGGCTTCTCTAAATTGTCCTTAGGTGAGTGTGTGCATGAATGGTTGTGTGTCTCTGTGTTGCCCTGCGATGGACTGGCGACCTGTCCAGGGTGTACCCCGCCTCTTGCCCATTGACTGCCCTCGCGACCCCACTTGGGACAAGCGTGTAAAGAAAATGGATGGATGTTATGTTTGAAAAAAGTGCAAGCCAATATAATTGACAAAGACTCCTGGATAAGTGTCAGAACATCTTGAGTAAAACAGTGAAAGAATGGATGGCTCTGATTTAAGCCTGTATTGTATTTGGTCAGAGTCAGGATTGTAGATTTTAATTTATGTCAAACAATTCATATTCTGAAGCCAAAGTAATTTCTTAATGCTTGCGGGCCAAGCTGACTTGTTAAATGTACCAACCAAAAGAGGACACCACCATAAAAGAACGGAGACCAACCGCTTGAGAAACAGAACAATTACTTTCTAATATTGTATTAGAGGTTTTTTTATTCACTGTACTGTATAAGCTGAGATGGTATTTCATTGTTCCCCTACTTAAACTATGCTGGAAAAAATGGACAATCTGACTTTTCAGAAATGCGAATCCTTTTGCATTGCATATGAACTGCTGGAGAGTTCATATTTCCTGGAGAGTCACTTACTGTCAAAATGCTGCAAATATGGAAACGTGTATCAGTACGTAACATGTATAGGTAATTTGCAACCCATGTGTGTTGCCCTTTAGTGGTAAGAATTATGTTTAAAATCAGAGATAGGATTTGAAAGCCTTTCTGCTTTTAGGTATCTCAAAACTTTGAATTATTAAAGAATTATTTGAGTTTTTTTTCAGCTCTAATTTCCTCCTTACATCTAACCTACATAGTAAGCGTAACCCATTAGACCCAACAGTTATTAGATGCAGGCTGCTGTCTGTGCACAGTTCAATCATAAATCGTATGGGCTGTGTTAAAAAAAGAATAGGCAATCAGACGATTAATTCAATTAAAATAGAGAAGCTAATGAGGTTGTTTCTATTTTATGATGAAGACAGCAGGTTTTGCAGATGCACATTTCTAATTTCTCTAAGATCTCACCAAAGTAAGTGCTTTACCGGCATGATTTTGAAAAAAAAAAAAAAACTGCTTCAATATATATATAAAAAGGTATTTGGCGCCAAGCATATTAAGAAATCTAGAAAATGATGTCCTGTACAGCAACAATGATCTAAAATGAAGGTCAATTATTATGTCAGTCCTTGATTAAATAGAACATTTGTAGGCTTACATAAAACATTATGTTTCTAAAGCAAACAATGTAAATTCTGAGAAACTCAAAATTGATTAAACTATCCTGGGATGGAATACCTGTTCACTAATACCAGAAATAGGTTCTCTGCATTCGACCCAGTTTTCAGAATTAAAATAAAAAATTAGCCCAAATTTACAGAAAGGGGAACCTGTTGCATTTTTCAGGTTTTACATAAGATCCTCCCTCCTCACTATTCGCAAAAACACGTCTGATAAAATGTTTACTTCTTCTTTGATTCAGAAAGAAAAGGGCTGAATTTAAAACGTAGAGAAATAAGCTGCAGTTTGAATTCTGAGCTTTTTCAAACATACTGCTGTTATTTATATCACATCTATAAATGCTCACTAATGTACTATCGTTATAGACAGTGGAAAAATAAGTATAAAAAAATCAGATCTGCATAGGGACGAGAGGGGCCAAGAAGCATCAGGCAAACACCTAAAGAGGAAAGTGATTTAGTTTAAATTTAAAGAATAAAAATATATAAATTTTACTATTTGTCAGATGTTAAAATCTCGTTTGACCTTTCTTTTGTTAGGTCCAGACAAATTAATTAGGAAAAGATTGTGATTTATGTTTATAAAGAAAGGGGTTTGCTTGTGCTATTAATGATAACCTGTGAATCTGAATTCTTTCAAAAGCTCATACTTGTAATAAATACTCTTAAAAGCAACTAACCTGAAAATGTAAACTACACATAAATGTCTGTCACTATCCGATCCGTCCTGTACATGCGTGAGCAGAATAACTCCGGGGTAGGCCATACTTTGTATTTCTTACTTTTTTTTATTCTTTTGTCTTTTTCTGGGCAGGGGGTTCCTTTTGAATATTTTCGTATTTGTGTAGTATTGCATATTCTAAAAAACGAAAAAAAAAAACATTACTGTGACTGCTCTGAGCATGTCAGATGATGTAACGCAGTACAATGGAGAGAATTTAAAACGTATCCATTTCTTCCAGAAAAGTCTTCAATATTTTCTATACAATGAAGTTTAGCATTCTTAAATGTTTTAAATATATAAATAAGTATTATCAGTACCGTTATTACGTACTGAAAATACTTATACTTATTTACGAACTGAAAATCCGATCTTCATAGGGACGAGTGGAGCCAACTAGCATCAGGTAAACACCTAAAAGAGGAAAGTGATTCAGTTTAAATGGAATATGAGCAACATTCTCTTAAGACAGAGCTGTTTTCTTCCTAGTTGTGGCTAGTAACATTAGCAAAGCATTCAAAAATGTTAAAGATGCGGGTATAGAATAGTTTATGGGTGTCGGTTCAAAATAAAAAAGCATTTATGAGTATTTATTACTTGTGTGCCCTTTGGACAGACTTCTGACAACCTTTGGGTGTATAACTTGATTTCCTGCTGTTTAGAGGATAACTGAATATGCAATCTATACCTCCTTTATCATGGAAAATGAAGAATAAAATCAGCTCACTGCACCTAGTTAAGTTTCAGAGACTTTTACAAAAAAGAATATATGTAATGAGAGAAACTAGTAAAAAAAACAACCTCATTCTCACATTTACATATGTATGTCTGATGGAAAACAAAGTTTGTTTTTTCCAAATAAACCAAATAAAATGTTGTTAGCGTTTTAGTTTTCTTGCCAGCTGGATTTAAAATATGGGGGTAGCTCTTTCTAAATGTGGGCTCTTTTCATCCAGCATGTTTATCGACTTGTTGGGGGACCCTCCTTGCAGTTTGACTTGTTTCTTTCCAATGTGGCTGATTTCCTACTGTTTTCTACATTTGTCTTCTCTTGTAAAGGCAATATGGTATCATAGCTTCATATTGTTGTGTTCCAATAATAACTGCGGGGGGGCTCCATACTCTCAAGGAAAAGTTGTGTAAATGTGATGTAACTGTATCCACATTATATGGCTCCACAAATCCATCCTTTAGCGGTTTTTGTTCCTGTGCTCTGAACCTTGGATTGTTTCTCCTTTTGTTTGATTGTGAAAACTCACCGCTAGGCTCGCTCAGTACTTAGAGACACAATCCACTTTAAACAGTCAAAAACTAAGCTAAATCTTGGCCATTTTTCCCTTGTTTCTTCATCCCTAAGAGATAATGCATTTGTTTGCAGAGAGATGTGAAGAAGTGGTGAAGGAGAGCAATATGGTGAATGGGAATTCCTTGATTCACGCAGTGATCTGCCGTGATCGCCATAAACCATCCTGACTGATGAACTTGGAGGTTTCCTGAAACGTCTGAAACAGCTGTTGATTGTGATTGTTCATTGGAGATGTCCTGTGCTTTAATGACTTCATTGTGGAAGGTAGACTACTTCTTTCTCTGGTTTTAAGATTTTTCTCTTGACCATTTCACTCTAGTTTTACTATAGACTGTCAGTTCTGGGGAATCTGCTGTTCTATCCCTGGACCATCTTTGATACAAGTCCTCCACATCTTCTATTCCCTTTTATTTGGGTTGAAGGTCAAGAAGCCCGGAAGAAAGTAAGGAAAAAGGTGAAAGAAAGAAAGCAAGAAAGACTAAGTGGAGAAGGAGGCAAGACGGAAAGCCACCTCTTCTCGTTTGTAACATTCTTTTCATGGATGAGACTGCGTCCCATTGGAAGATGAAAGCAGTCTGGTCTTTTCTCTCCCTGACTCTCGCCGCTGTAAGATGGTCCCACTGTTGCTGCTGCTGCTCACCCCATCTGCTGTGTGCTGCCGTTCTACTCGATCCGATCCACTTTCAAAAGGCTGGGAGTTCTGATGGGAAGGAGTACTGGGTAGATGGGAGAGTTGACCATTCTTCTCATCTGACAGGCAAGAAAAAAGATTTTAGAGAGGAATGATATTTAAAATAACCCTATATACAAGAGTCTATTAGATAACCTAACAAAAATATTCCTACTCCTTGATCTCACCGATCTTTAGTCAATTTATGGCAGTACATTTCAAGCTTTAATGTTGGTTGGACCAAATTTAAGTTTTAATGTAATTATAGTTCCGAAAAAATTATGTTAGTCTACTGCATAATAATAAAGTAAAAGATTAAACATCCTTTTTCTTATTTCTACAAATAGGATCTGAGATGAGAGAATTACATTTGTATCAATCCTTTCACTCTGATACCAGTTGATAAAATCCAGTGCAGGCAATAGCTTTTACACCTCTTTAAGTAAGTTAGGTCTACCAGGATCTGAAATAAGTACTGGCTCTGATGCACCTGACCTAGTGGTTCCTAGAATTTCTAAGAAGAATGGGAGGCAGATCTTTTAGTTATAAGGCTCCTCTCCTGTGGAACCAACTGCAAATGTTAGTCCATGAGGCAGATACCCTGGCTGGCTTAAAGCGTTGCTTTTTGCTATATTATATTGCTTATGCTGCTATAGACTTAGGCTGCTGGAGGACATAGGGACACGGACATTTACCTAATAGTCAACTTGTCGACAGGACAACTTAATTAAGTTGAGTCAACTCATATCTGGACAACTTGAAAGTTGACTCACTCCAGTGTGTGAGTCTGGTCTCTTATTGGCTCACTCTATGGGCTTAGCACAGCCCATATCCTACCCTGTATGTTACTGTAACCAATAATCATTTCATTTGCAAAAGCAAGGGGTGGTTAGAGAGCAGTGTCTCCCCATCTCTCCACACGCCGCACACTTACCCCAACTTAATGTAACGAAGTCATAGAACTAGGCATCAACACTACTTTAACTTATAATGTATACCAGTCCACCAGGAAAAGCACATCTTGTTTATGCCATAATAGGGATCCCTTTGATTATTCTGCTTCGTTCGACTTCTGTTCTACCATTTAGCATTATTTGTTAGATAAACCACTTTTTGTTCTCTGATTTTTCTCAACATAGCAGTTTCATCTTGCCCGTTCCTGTTGTGACTCCATCCTAGAGAGAAATATCAGTGGTGCAGCTGCCATTTGACAGCTTCATCATAGATGATAGAGTTGGGCCTGTTTTTCAGTGTTTAGTCCTGTTTTTCCTAGACAAAGCTATGGGCTCACAGCTTTCACTGAGACTAACTGGATCTGCTGTCTTTCATGTGCTTCTATATTCCTTTTTCTATGTCTGCTTCTGCCTCCTTGAACTCCAGTCAGCCTCGGCAGATGGCCATTCACACTGAGCCTGGTTGTCCTGGTGGTTTCTTCCTGTTAAAAAAGGGTCTTTCCTCTCCACTGTTGCTGCATGCATGCCCTGTGAGGATTTATGTACAGACAATGAGCAAATGCAAACAATCCCTGCAGTTGGCATATCTGGATGAATCAGTTTCTTTTCCAGTTTTAGCTGCCTGACTTAAATGGGAGCAGAGTTTTTCCTCAGAAGGTCCCAGCCAGATGTCCAACATGGATCCCACTGACGTGACACCACTTGATTTTGGTTATAACATGGTTCATGGGTGATAAATACTTTTAAGGACAGATCCAGACAAAGATGAACTTCGTATCTTTTTGGTAAATGGCTTAAAAAAATTATGTTCACATAAGTGGAAACATAGCACCACTGTGGACACTGTTGTACATATGTAAGGCCCTTTGGTGAAACCATGAAACTGCCCCAAATCACACCTAAACCGTTGATAAAAAGGCGGGGCACTATTTAGAAAGCTCATTGTTTAAAATCAGCTTTTTATTTGAAAATTGTTTCACTCCGGGACCCGTTTTTATTTAAATTTTTCATTATTATTTATAGTCTCCGCTTAATCTGTTTAGATCTAATTTTAATCTTATCCTGTAAATAGGACCTCTACGTATATCTTTCAAGTTCTGGAGAAGGATATTCTTTTTCCAGGTAGATCATCAAAATAAGTGGTCCCCCTAATTGTAAATAATTCTGGTGATATGTTTACATAGGGCCGTCATACGTGCTTATCCCCAGCTAGCTATCTTTCCGGAGGCGAGTCTGACATAGTGGAAAAATTGCAAATCTTCTACTGGAAAGTAAGTTTTCGGGTAATAGGCGTTCCCTCTCAGGAGCAGGTACAGGGTTGAGCCAGTACATTTTTTTTTAAAGTATACCTTTAAGTTTGGTACTCACCAGCCAGAGCCTGCACAGAAGGCTGATCATGAGTGCTGAGAAGCTGGGCTTGGATCGTTTCTACGACTCTCTTAAATCTACGACTTGGACCTAAGGAAAGAAAAATAATTAATGGTTAGTTATCAAGTTTTTCCTGGTAGTTTCTTATTTACTGTCTTTCCTGGTGATGTGATATTAGATACTTTACAAAAAGACAAGTGACTAACGAATAAAAGGCTTCTTCTACACCTGCAGGTAGAGTCTGTGACCAATAGGAGGCAGTAAAAACAACGTTTAGGCATATTTTTGGTGTCCCATGTTATAGGATCTGTTGTCCCCTCATTATTGTCTTATTGTCTAATCCCTATTTTTCAAAGTGTGTCTGAATCTTTTTAATATTGAAATTCAGATAGTAAATGATAATCATCTTTTAACATGTAATAGCATTAATACAAATTGATTAAAAAGGAAACTTAATTTGTGGCAGTGCACTGTTGTTGCACCGTTGTTTGTCCTGTTTGTCTCTGTGACTGGTGACCTGTCCAGGGTGTACCCTGCCTCTCGCCCATTGACAGCTGGAGATAGGCACCAGCACCCCTCGCATACCCAGCAGGGATAATCATGATGGAAAATGGATGGATGGAAACTTCAATCACATACATGGAAGAAATTTTATTTCATTCCACTAAATGTATCTTCTGCCTTTTGTTTGTCAGATAGAGGTTTTCTGTAGCATGCCATATTGAACACTGACGTTACAGTGCATATGATGCAACCTCATATTTGTACCATATTTAATAGTTAGCATTTCAGAAATGAGAAATGGTGACAGGTTTCTGACACGGAATTAAAAACTTGTGTGAACTCCTTCTAAACTCAAGCTTCTGACAAAAATCAAATGCAAAGTTAATGTTCTGTTTTTACTTTAAAGCTGTAGTGGAGGATGTTCTTTTTCCGGGTGTATCATCAAAATAAGTGGTCCTCCTAATTGCCAATCATTCTGGTGATACATTTACGCAAGCCCATCCTACGTGTTAGTTCCCATAGGTAGCTATCGTCTTATGCACATCCGCACTTTCAGGCTATATTAGTGGTGAGCTACGGTTTCAGCCAGTCATTTAAGCTTGCCTTTCTCATCGCAGTTCATTGAGAATGGCCAGGGTCGTAAGAGAAAAAGTGTCAACGAAGTGTATGAGAAGAAATAAAAGGCATCAGAACAGAGAAACAAGACCAGAGTGTTTTTGGGTACACTGAAAGCACAGGTCAGGATTCCCACCGAAACCTCGGTTGCAAAGTTTCTACCCAACAGGTGAAGTTTGGCTATTTGGAAAAATCCATTTCACATCACATCACTGCTGGTAAAACTTATGTACCTCTATACTGTAATTTTCCAGGGAAGACAAGTTTATTTATTTTGTAATTTGCATCATTAGTAGTTATACGCACGATGCTGAAGAAAGCACAACAGTACCATGCATGTGATAGCAGCTTTCAATGGAGCGCTCCATTGAAACTTAAAGGTTCTCTTTTCTGTTCCTATGTTCAATAAAAGTACATTTTAAGATAATTTGTGGCAAGAATATTATACTTTAAAGCGTCACTATACTGATTTAATGCGTCATAAAAAAATTTTCCGAAGTTGAGAGGACTGCGGCAACCAGCGGATCTCTGAGGCTAACAGCAGCCAGGGCTAACTGCAGCCCGTCTCCAGCGGCCCTCTCTCGGCATAGTCGTGCTTGAAGGACCGCTGGCTCTGATGACGATTTTTGACTCAGCTTTGAAATCAGTTTTGGAAGGATTACACTTGGGGTTTGCGTTGAAACGTGAGCAGTAGGAGGCTCTACGCTAATTCATTTTTAAGAAGGACATATTCGCCATTTTATCGACAGGCTGTTTGTTTACCCTCCCCCCCCCAGCTTTCTGTCGCGCTTACTACATCACGGTCAGTTGCTCTAACTGGTCAGAGCGTTGGCCATTAGGCACAGACAGCGGTTTGAAAAACAACGGGTTGTTCTCATCAACAATCTCCTGATGTCATTGGGGTCATACTAAATAACACCTCTCATTTCATTCAATGCAAAGAAAGTTAGCCTGAAAAACGTAACTAAAAATATTTAAATAGCTCAGTCAAAGGTCACGTGAAACAAATAAGTTTTTAATCTCAAATTAGTGAAACTAGGTTTTCACTGCCGAGGGTCATAAAAAATGTTCCCTTAAGATCCTCTGTCATTTTCAAAGAACCTCAGTTAGAAAGGCGAACTTCAATGACTGTTTGAAACCATAACTTACCACAAATATAATCACGGTGTGGCTGTGGATCAAGTCCCAGTGCTGTAGCTGGTGTTTGTGACAACGCGCTATTATCCAAGTCGTCTTGAAAACATTATTTTTCGAAATGTTGGCTACATATCACTTGTTTTTTTCTCTGGCCAGAAGTTCGATGGCAAATCCTCCCTCTTCAAGTTTTTTTGGTCACTTTTAGCCGACGTATTCCAACATCCAACTGCCATGTTCGTGGGCATTGTCAGTTTAACTATAGCTCTGGTGAATTTCAATGGTGAAGTCCTCTGGAAATCTTCGATAATTGTTGTTGTTTGCAGATGTGTCTAGTAGTTCCCATTGATTTTGCTTGTAAAGCGGGAAGAATGGCGCTAGGCTTACCGCACCGTGACGTCACTGCCAGAAGATGGCAGGAGTGAGGTGTTACTATATTTGGGCAGAAATGGCCGCTCCCGGACTCAGTGATCTCAATGAAAATTATTATTTATATTTTTATAATGATTAATGGTAAATTTATATGTATTAGTTTTAGGTATGAATAATGATCCATTGATCATTCCTTGCTGACCGGAGATTTCCTTTAAATTGGGTTTTGTGTAACATTTGTTAACATTGTGCTATTTCTATGATGTACATGGAGGAAGAAAAAGCAATATCTTTAAGAATGAGTCAAAAAAATATCAACAGACTTTAAGTCAAAATAATCGTCATGGACATCCGGCTTGGAAAAACGTTATCGGTTGATATCTAGTAACAAATGGAGCATTTCAAACAATTTCTGGAAAAATAATTCACAAAAATAGAAATAAACAGCATAGAAATGAAATTAGTGATTTGTTGATCATGGACTAGGAAACTAAAATCATTAGAGATTTCTTTACAAAAGATTTTGAATAAATTTTTTTTACTGAAAGTCGAGCTAACACCAAAGTTACAACATCTCTGGCAGATCTAGGTTTACTAAATGGCCATGGGTGTAACCAGATGAATGAAATCATCAGTTCAGATGAACATAAACTTCCTCAGAAGCACACAAAACATAACTTCAATGAAACGGCTCCTGCAGAGGTCCATTAATAAAAGGAAAGCGTCTGAGAATATCTCCAGCAGAGATCACAGGAGGAGATCATGGAAACACTCCAGGTTCCATGAAACCTCAGTGGAAAAAGAGCAATAGTCAATGAAGTTTACAGCTGCATCACAGGATATTAGCAGCCAGCATATCAGCAGCTTGGAATATTGAAAGCATGATGAGGTGTGTGTCTGTTCACAGATGATAACAGAGGTGCTTGATCCTTTTTTAGGATAAAGACCTTTATTTTACCCAGCTATATTAGAAATACGCTCCAGTACACTGCAAAAACGAGCTAGAAATAAGTACAAATTTCTTAAATTAAGTGTATTCACCCTTAATTTGAGTATGTAAATTAGGTAATTTGCCAATGGAATGAGTAATTTTACTCTTAAAATAAGATAATTAGATAATATGCACTTGAAATAAGACAATTTAATTGTGTTTTATTATTTTAAGTGTAAATTGTCTTGTTCCATTGGCAAAATGTCTCTTTTATCTACTCAATTCAAGAACAAATGCACTTATTTTAAGAAAAAAAATTACTTATCCAGATTTCGATTTTTTTGCAGTGTAGGAGAAAAATATCATCCATGTCTGTATAGCAGCACATTATTCATAGAACGCCTGATAACTTACAATTTTTTTTACTTTACACATTAAAATTTAATGTTTTAGAGAGATTTTACAAAGACAAATTGGGACATAATTACGGAAGCGTATTGCATTCACCAAAGAAAAAGAAATCAGACAGCTTATCTCGTGATTTTGAGATCTTTTCTCATAATTACGAGATTTTATCTATATATTTTTTTATTATTGCTTGAGCCAGTAATAAAGCATCTCTCAGAAAACTGGTCTTCATGATTACTTCTTAAAAATATCTGCATCTGTTCCACTGAACAGTTAGTTCTCTGTTCCCAGGTCTGTCCTGATACGCGTTGGAGTTCCGCTCCTGTTTTCCACTTCATCAATAAAGTATCCTGCTATAACCCTGGGATTACCACTTGTGGAGAAAGCATGCACCCATATGACCATATGCGAAAATCCGTCAGCATCTCCATTATAACAAATTCTGTATGTTTTTTTTTTTTTCTGAAGGTCCTCAGACTCAGTTACGTATGGTTTTAGTTTTTCATATGAATCGACATGCTGCATGAAGTTTTTAAACGATTCTGAAGCCTTAGCAGTACTCTGAGGACTGCTGAGACTGGATCTAGGATTTTGAGAAGTTATCGGCGGACAGACACCACCAAGCCAGCTGGAATGCATCTCAGATGCATTCATTTCTAACCATAAAGCATCCCATGCTGGTTTAATTCCTCCTGCTGGAACAGTGCAATTTCTAGCAGGTAAGAGTAAAGTGGGCTTTTTTGTCTTAAAAATTCTAAGGATTCACTGCGCAATGCTGAAAACAAAAACTAATTCCATCCACATTGAGGAAACTCTCAGTGTCATATACCTAAAAGAAAATAAAAGCATATTAAATTTGACAACCCGCTCATTGTTCATGTTTCATGTAGCGTAGCTCAGCATTGACTGTCCCTCCTGATCTCCTAAATATGACATAATATCTCATAATTATGACAACTAATTTCACAATTCAGGGGTCTTCAACGTTTTCCAGGCCAAGGACCCCCAAACTGATGTCGAGATGGAGCGGGGACCCCCTAATTATATGAAATTGTGTTATATCAAACTGGTCCAATAGTCACTCTATTACAGATGGGGTAATTTAACGAAATTAATTTCTCCCTGGGATTATTTAAGTATTTCTGATTCTGATTACTGGGATTTTATGGTTTAACAGAGCAGCAGGCTTTATGCTGCCCTGCAAGGCTTTAAACCTTGTTTGAATGGAGACAAAGCCATTCTCAAGCACAGATCAAGGTGCTCATTTTGAGGCTGGATCCATTTTTATTTTTAATTATGTTCATGATGGAGAATCAGCAGCAGGCTGAGTCAAACATACTCAAAATATGCCGGGTCATCTTTGAGCACACCATTTCACTTTTCTTTCTACCAGTTCACAGTTTCTTTCAGCAGTCGGGTCGAGAGCAAGCAGGAGGGTCCGGATCCGGACCCTGGTCCACTAATCTCTGACCTCTGGTCTATTGCATGAAATTACAGTAACATAGTGGGAACTCTGGCTGCAAAACAAAAAAATAGAAAGAATTTATATATAAAAAAATATTGGGATATAAATACTTTTGCAAACAGTGCATTACTTCAGTGTCTCTTGGTTATATAGAATAAATTCCATTAGTAGCACACTGGTTCTTAAAAGGAAAACCTCAGAAGGTTTCTCGGGGTAAATCTTTCAAAAGCACCATTCCTCTTGGATTTAAAGAGATAAACTCTTGTTCCTTCAGCGATCCACTACTAAATGAAATTAAGAGGTCGTCAATAATAACAGGTCTGAACAGGGCCTTCCTCTTTCAGCTGCTTACCTGCTAGTAGTGTGAAGGTGACGCTGTAGATGCCCATCTCTCTTCGTCCTTCTCTTTCTGCTCGTTCCCTCTCACGTTCCCTTCCTCCCTCAGAAAAAGCGATATCCACCTGCAAAATAAGGGGAAAACAACCTGAGCTTTATTCATAAATTTGAGATTACAAAGTTTCAAAATCTACATTTGACCAGTTTTTTTTTTTTTTTTTTTTGTTCACTGGCTGAAAAGAAAGTGTCAGAAAAATATTACCTGGAACTTGACAGGTTTCTGGAAGACAGAGGGGCCACTGGAGGACTTGTATTCGGCCCGGAAACTATTCTGAGACACGACGCTATGGCTGAGGGAGGGGATCTGGGGAAGTGACAGAGAGTCTTAAATCAGTGCCTCTAGAGAGAGCAAAGGTAAAGACTAAAGCAATGCTCCAAGCTGAGGCCTGGCTGCACTCACAGAAAGAAAGGCATGAACGATGTCTGCCTTGATGGAGCTGAGCGGCTTGTCTCTGATCAGCACAAAGATCTGCTCCTCCTTTTCAAGACTGATGAAGTTACCAAACCACGACCTCTTCGCCAGCCTAGAAACACGTAGAAAAACACCATTACAACCATGTCCTTTAAAAATGTACAACCCATTTAAAAGGATCTATGCAAATTAAACTACTAAATACACCATTTTATTTGTTGTACAATCTGGAAACCATAATAGTAAAATAAAAAACATGAAGAAAAACGAGGAATAGGCATCTTTAGAAAAGAAAACATATACATGAAAAGTGGAAGGTAGTCTAGAAGGGGGCCATGGCAACCCCTGGCCAATCAATGTCCACTTCTATGGCCACTCAAACAGCTGATTTATTGTTCCTAATGAGACATACTTTACAAACTCCAAAAGAAGCAGTTCATTTCTAAAACAGAGGGTGGCAGCAGTAATACTCTCAAATGGAGTGTTAAAACTAACTTGATTTTCAGTTGCTAGTATATTGACAATATACTTCCCACCCACTGCTAGGTTTTGTACTTTATGGGGACGAAGAGAACGTTTTGTGTGTCTGTGACTCATTCAATGTGTATATTGTGCAAAACTACAACCAATTTAGACAAAATTCATGTATAAATAGGTGTGTAGATTCATTAGTCTGTCTTTATTGATTTATTTGTTAAATATGGAGGTTTTGATCAGTTGACTCTAAACTGGTTTTGGTGACCATCAATTTTTGGTCACCCCTGGATGCACATTAGTCTCTGCTTGGCTACCTCTATGAAAAAATTCTGTCTCCGCCACTGCAGGTAGTATCCACATAAAGTCACACATAGAGTCCTGCCTCCAGGTTTTCAGCTTGTAGCAGCAAGAAAATTAAATCAGCAAGTATGGAGAAAAATCAGCATAGATATACAAACGTTATATTAAAACGAGTATCATTCATCACTACTGGGAGTAACAGTAATTTTAAGCAACAATCTAACAGCAATGAGCCCAATGTAATTAATTAATAAAGCTTCAATCGTCACGAGAGTTTACCTTACAGCTGTTAAAGAACTATGCTGCTGAGTATCTAAAGTCAGTCGTGTATCATTTTGCTATCATTAGCCGTTGCTCAGATGGATGCAACAAAACAGATTCACATCAGCTAATCAGCTATAAGGTAAAATATACAATCAGCTCCAGCTTGCATGCTTGGTGTGGGGGATTGCTGTAGAGACAAAATCTGTCTGGATAATCCAATTAAACTGTCTATATTGAAATGAAAAGTGCTGTAAATTGGAGCTATATGAATAAACTGATATAAAAATTTTAAATAAAACAACATCACAAATTATTCAAAGGCTCTGATTTCCATAAAGGATATTAACTAAATGTTTACTGTAATAATTCTGTCATTTTGTAATATTCTATATTTCTCTGTTGTTAAATAGCCTGCTGTGCCTTTGAAAATGTTGCTTCCATGCCACCATAGTAGAGTATTTCTCTATACTGTAGTGAGCTTGAAAGTTTCATATCATGATGGCAGCCACTGAAACAGTCATGATAGAAGTACAAGATAATGTTGCTAAAAATGTAAAAGCTGCCAATTAATATCAACAAGCAATGTTATTATTAGACTGTCTGTATGATTAATTAAGGGTTAAAAAAGTGAAATTATATTTTCAATGGGGCTGAAAAAAATTATTCAGATTAATCGTGATTAATCGATTTTTGAAATAATTGTCAACTAATTTAGTCAACGATTAATCGTTAACTGGAGTGTACAGTCTACACTACAAAAAAAAAATTATTTTGCATTTTGTTAGGACTCCAGTCTGTGAGGTCTGTGTTATTGTTTCTTTGTCTTCCTTCCTCCACCAGGCGGCGCCTGGTTCTGATTCTCCTCCTCACACACCTGCGAGGGGTTACCTCATCAACAGAGTGTTCTTTAGCTGCTGACTGCCACTACCTCGACGCCAGAGTGTTTGCCAGTTTTGGGTACTCTAGCCAAGCTGAGTTTTGCTGAGTCAAACTGAGTTTTTGTCAACCTGAGTCTTAACATTGTTTTTTGTCTTTGGCTCTCGGCAGGAAGTCATCCTGCAAACTGGATTTTTTGGACCTTCTCTCCCTGGAAGGATCAACTGAGCTTCAAACTGAGCTGAGGATACAAACCGGAGGTTTGGATCCACTTTTCCCCGAGGAAACGTTTGAGCTTCACACTGAGCAAGGGATTCATTTGCACAACGTTCCGTTCAACTATCGCAGGAAATCTGAGTGGCAGTCAGTGTCTCCGTTCTTCTACAAACAACCGCATTCTGGGTAAATCCTGTCCGCCCTCCACCGAATGAGACATCTAAGATTAAAAAAATTTTTTTCGTCGCTCTGCTCTATCCAGAACTTCACAAGTGGAAAAGCTTTAGTGTTACCTGGGTTAATTCTGTAAAAAAGCTTTAAAGGAACTTTTTGCTTATTATTTATTAATTAATAAAAAAAATAATCCACAGATTAATTGATTAGCGAACTAAACATTAGTTGCAGCCCTAATTATCTATAAACTTTGCAATCTCAAATAAGGGAATTATAAAAAAAAAAAATCTGTGTTCTAATTGTTTCAACAACAAAAAGAATAAAACTGTTCACAGCTGAGAAAAACTATGCTTATAAAAATATGTTAATCCAACATGTGTCCTTACTCTGGACTGGATTCTGGAGTCAAACTGGACATATCCTCTGATGTAGGAACTACAAAACAGGCAGAGAGAGACAGGATGAGGTTAGAGAAGATAAGGCTCATACAGTAATTCTTGATGACAGACTCTAATTTAATTGCTCTAATTACAGCTTATCACAGCAGCAGCATTACTCAACACAGCTGCGGGCTGAAGACCGAGATTCTTCTCTGGCAGGAAGCGTTTGGACTAGAGATTCTTTAGACTCAACTGCTAATCTGAAGCTCACCCTGATGGATTTGAAATGGTGTCAGCTTTTAGCTGGTGCACAGATTTTCTTCAGAACCTCGCTCACCTTGCAGTTTGCGTCGATGGAAGCGTGGAGAGCCCAGCAGGTTGTTTTTAAAGGAGTTAAGCCTCGTCCTCCAGTGGGTGGAGCTCGAGGCGGCCAGATTGCCACTCCCTCCCGGACTGGAGGGCGGAGTCAGTGACAGCGAGGCGCCACCCGCTCCGTCCACTCTGGAGGAAGAGGACGAAGAGGAGGAGGAGGTAGGGGTGGTGGAGGAAGGGTGTTGGATTTGGTGCACGGGCGTGCCGAGTGGGGTGGGTAGAGGCGAGCCCTGCGGTGTGACCTGTGACACAGGGGAAGGGGTGGCAGATGAGTTAGAGGACGAGTGGACGTTCTTGGACCTGAAGATGGAAGGGGAGGGGAAGTTGAAGAACCGTGGGGAGGGGATAGGGGACGGGGACGGGGAAGGAGAGCGTGGTGTTTTCAGAGGAAGGGACTTCATGGAGTGGAGCTGGGGCCGGTCAGTGGGACCCTTGGAGGGTAAGGTCTGGGTTTTTGGGTCAGGCGATGGACGGGTGGGCCGAGGAGTTGTGGCACTTCCTGCTCCGGGGTCTTTGGAGGAAGAAGAGGTGGAGGTGACTTCTGACTGGCTAAAGGTGAAAACTGGACTCTGATAGACAGAAAAAGATGCGAAAAAAGGAGGGAAAGGGATGTGGGCAGATGAGACAGGAAGCAATGGTCATGAAATATGATTCAGGGACAGAAAATATCAACCAGACTTGATTAGATGCACATAATGGAATGGATCTGCACACTCTTTTTCTGCACTCCAATCATGTAAGACCCCTTTCATCCATTTAGAGACATGAACGGCATGATACGTCTGAAATGAAAATGTGATAGGGAGCTGGAAAATGACCAGGACAAACAGACTGAGAAGCATTACTAAGGCAAAGGTCACAGAAAATTTTTTCTAGACAACAAATCCGACATTTATATAGTAACGCTGAAGGTAAAAACATGAAAGGTATAGTTATTAATACATTCATTAATACATTTTTACCATTCAAACATTAAACCATTATTATAGTTCAAGCTCAAACCCAAATAACTGCCGTCCCTCAGTAAGGTCTAGAAGCACAAGATCTATATCCAGCCATTCAGCAAAGATACTACATGGCTGAACATCTTATTTTGGTATTTGACTAATTAGATAAGCCCTTGAATGATATATTACCTACTGTAAATTAATTAAAAAAAATTTATCAAGTCAAGAAAAAAAGTTTAAAAGCTAATTGAAAAGCTAAAAAGGAAGTTAAAAAGATAATAAGCCTAGTTAATATTTATATTTAGGTTTATGAACTAAAAAATGTAAGTGCCTGTATCAGCATTAATGCCTCTGAGCTTATGTTGTACCAAAAAAGAAAAAAATGTGTTTCTTTCACTCTCAGTCTTTTTCAATTAATTTCATATAGAAGCACTTTTGTTATTTTTCTTAATATATTTGGGCAAGTTGGCGTTTCTTGTTATTACATTGACATACATTTTTGCCATCAAAATATCCATATTTTTTTATTTTACAAAGGTAATAAGGTGTCCTGGATTCCAATAACACTATTGGTTGAAATTTAGATTTTCAAAGTATTTCGCTAGGTGCCCTATAAAGGTTAATACAGAGGAAACTAACTGATTGTGGGTCGTGCTTTATCAACTGCGTGGGTGTTACCATTTAAAATGATCTGCCACTGATACGTTCGGCCTTTCAGGACCCAACCACCTTATCCCCCAGGAAAGGCTTCACAGCTGGCGACTGATAGAAACAGTGCAAGTTGCTGAGGAGATGTTAAGTCAGTCAATCAGCTTTCTTCAAACTGGGCTAAAACACTGTGCTCCTGGACAGGGATGTCCTGATACTACGTTTTCAGTTCCAATATGATAATGATATTTAAGTATTGACCGATACCGATATTGACTCGATATCAGCACACATCATACATACGTTTATAACTCATTTTGTAGTGTGGCATATTAGAAAAGGCTTTATGTTTTGCTGGTATAGGACTAATATCCCATATCCGTATTGAACTGGGACTTGTCTTCCATTTGTTGATTGTGTCGTAAATATTATAGAAACCCAATAAAGTAGTGCTAAACATCTTTACTGTAATATGTTGTAAACGGCTGCATGTGCTCTCTTCATCCTCTGAGCTCGTCTGCCTGGCTGTGTGTTTCCTGGATAGGGCCGCCTTTTACAGTTGCCTTTTGTATCTCTGCTTCTGTCTACTTGAACCCCAGTCAACCTCAGCAGATGGCCGCTCACACTAAGCCTGGTTCAACTGGAGGTTTCTTCCTGTTAAAATTGAGTTTTTTCTCTCCACTGTTGCTACTAGCATGCTTATTGTGAGGGATTGTCTTCAAGTCAATGAGTCATTGCAATCAACTGGTTTTCCTTAGAAGGAAAACTTTGAATCAATTTGACAGTATGATCTGGTTGAATTGGCAAGTGATTTGAGATGACGTGTTGGCGAATTAGCGCTATATAAATAAACTGAATTGAATTAATGCACCATTACATTAAATGTATTTATGGCTTTTTAGACTGCAACAAATTAACAAAACTGGTAACGGTTGGATCCCTTAGTTAGAAACTGTGAAGCTCTTTGAAGATGTAAAGTAAATTTTAACATTGATCAGGAGAGCAGAGTAATTTAAAGTTCTTACCCTGGGACTGCTGAGAGGACTAGAGGACAGACCTGTGGACGCCCCGCTGACTGAACGAGACCTTTAGAAAATGTAAGTCAGAGTGAGTGACGTAAGAAGCTCTTTACATGAAACAACTAAAACCTGTTCTGTGGGCTGTAGTACGCCCAAGGTTCTGTTCCGATCGAAGTGATGAGGAGAAGTAAGTTGGTACCTCTGGCTGTGAGCGTTGGTGTCCAGAGCCCTGCGAGGCGGGGTAGGAGATCCTTGATCTGTGACACTAAGGACCTCCAAGCTCTTTCTCTCCGGACGACAACGACTGTGACGCGTCAACATCGGGGAATCCACACGCTTCCTGGGTGGGTCTTGGACAACAATACCAACAACACAGAAATGGAATTAGAATTTTCTGATTTGGTATATTTATTCAAAGTAGGGATACACAGAGGAATGTCAAGGTTCTCAAAAACTTTGACTACTTGATATGTTGGATGGAATCTCAAGGAGTTTGTATTTTATTGATCTGTGACTGCATCAAAAGTACCCGCAAACATGTCCCCCTAACCGCTTAAGCCAAGCGGCCAAGCTGACACCAGCTGATGTTTATCTATTTATAGACACTGGCCAAAACACAGTCACATGGTGTTTCATCCACACCCCTTTCAAATGGGGCTTTAAAATTTTTTAAAATATTTTTTTCACAAATACTTTTTGTTTTACAGCTGTGTAAACAAATAACAGGAGATTTAAAATTCCATCTGAAATGTGTGTGACTCTGCGGTGGTAATGCAGTAGTGGTATTCATTTTTAGCCCCACCCCCTAGGCTGGCATCGGTGGAAACTAAAGGCTCAGACCTTTCCAAGGAGGAGTTGAAGGTAAATGTGTGAACATTTCAGGTTACACAAGCTATCTATCTGGAAGACTCTTTAGCCCAGCACTGTTAGGAATCCAGTGTGTGTGGGCTGTGTTTGTGTTTTCCCCCTCCATCACCAGGTGGCGCCCTATTCTCATTGGTCCTCCCACACACCTGCAGCTGGTTGTGCTCATTACTGAGGACTCTTAAGCGGTGGACTGCCACTACCTTGTCGCCAGAGTGTTTGCCAGTTGAGTCAAACTGAGTCTGTCTCTCTGAGTTCTAACCTTGTTTTTGTCTTTGCCTTTTCGGCAGGAAGTCATCCTGCAAACTGGATTTTTGGCCTTCTCCCCCTGGAAGGATTGTTTTGAGCTTTACACTGAGCAGGGGATTAATCTCCACACGACCCGTTCAACTTCTTCTGGAAATCTAAGTAGCAGTCCGCTGCATAGCTCCTCAAGGAACCAACCAAACCAAAAACCTGTCCACCCTCCAACGAGCCCCCCAATCTCTGGATAAACCCACACCGACTGGATTCTGAGAAGAGAACCTTTTTCTGCTAACGTGAGTCCCATTCATCCCTGATTTTTGCAAGACGTTGTTCAAAATTCCCACGGACCTTGAATTTACCTCTGAACTTCCCTTCTCACTTCCAGTTCCGGTTCACCAGCTCTCTGAGTTACCCTGGATCACCCTATTGAATATTTCAATAAGCCTGTTAAACTTTTACTCTGGTTCTCTGAGTGGTTTCCTGCATTTGGGTTAGATTTCTTAAAAACATCATGACAAGCAGTGCTTAAGCCATGCTCAGGATAATGCCAACATGTTTCCACCTACTGGTAAAGCATATTTATTACAGCCTGTATTACATGTATTACATCCTCTCTGTTATATCTATAACAGTGGCAGGCAGTCAGACCACCTTCGCCCCCCTTAAGTGCAGACCAACCTGGACGCCGGCCTTGACGCGAGAGGCCCGGCCCTGGTGCTGTCCTTCTTCTCATTCAGTATTATGAATCAATACACTTAGCTGTCATGATGTGACCATCATGAACATTTTGTTGAGGACACAGGTCAGGATGGACATATAGGACATAGTCAGAAATGAAAAGCAATAGTATGAAAAAAAGTGTGCTCAGAGGACTCCCTTCAAAGACTCTTCCTCCTCCCGAACGCATAGTGTTTCCTAACCGATCACAACTGGACTAAAGGAGAACTTCTCTTACCAAGGTCATTTCTAGGAGGCAGGTCCTCATCTTCATAGCTTGGGTATCGCTCTTTTCTATCCAGAAGAAGGTAGTAAATCATTTTCTCCTGGTTCTCCCTTCAAACAGAGGAAGCAAAACAAGAACCGATTGGTGGGATTGCACCCATATAGAAAGAAAAAATTGATGGCTGATTTTCATTTACCTAAAGCCCCATGGTTGTATTTCTAGATCCAATAAATGGGTTTAATGTTTGTTGTCTTTTATGTTTAGCTCTTAAATGATAATATTAATGTAGAACTTGGGACTTCCAACCTTCTCAGAGCACAAGAGCTCTGCTCTAACCCGCTAGGCCAACACTCCCCCAAACCAAAAGCTAACCAAAAGTTAGCATTAGTAACCTTTTGTCAACATCAGCTAATATTTACCATTGCTAACCATGGTGCACCATTTACTGGTCCGTAGAAGTTAAACATGCTACAGTTACTACACAATAAATAATAAAAGCATGCATGATTGGTGCTGATATCGTATCGGGTCAATAGTGATACCCCTCATACTCAAAGCTGCAGTTATCTTAGGGTATCAGAAATGAAAAAAGTGATGTTGGGACACCCTTAACAGCAAGATTCACAGCCTACAGAGATTTTCAGCTTTCAGAATAAAATTAAAATTTACATCCAAAACAGGAAACATTAAAGGATGGAGAGACAAGAGGGTGTTTGTACAAACATCTGTACAAACAAAGTTAGAAAAAAGGATAAAATAAGGGCTTTTTCTCAACCTACAGGTTTGTATCCTAGATTAGACAATGCAGTAAACCAGAACGGAGAAGCTGAGGGGGTTTCCTGTACTCACTCCTCACTTGTAAGGTCCTGTGTGAGTTTGACTCGGTCTCTAAAGCAGCCTAAAGAGTACATGCTTTCCAGGACATCTGGGTCCAGCTCTGAGAGTGACAGGATCCTCTTCACACACACCCGGCGAGGAGGAGGCTGCTCCGGGTAGGGCTCGTTACGACCCCCCCTGGAAGGAATAAGGCAACAACAGAACGTTTAAAAAAAGAATGGCCTGTATGTTTTAATGATAGCAAAGAAGAACATACAAAAAATTCAATCTAAGTAAGCCCGTTTTTTCTGGAAATAAGTGTATTTTTCCTTAGGCAGATAGGACAATGTGCAGGTACAAAATAATATACATTTAAAGAAAGAAAGAAATTACTTAATTATTTAAAATGGATAATGTCTAATTAATTTATTTTAAGGGAATTAATGGTTATTTCATTGTTAAATCCTCATATTTAGCTGCCTAAATAATAAGCAAGTACAAATATTTTCAGAAAGTCTGACTGATTTTAAGACAATGAAAATAAAGACGATAAAATTCAAATGGTTTACATACATTATTACCTTTGATTAATGAAACCCTGATTAAAAGCCAGTGGTTCCCAGACTTTTCTTAATTACCCCCCATCATCTGCTCACATTGAGTGCTTCAAAAATCCTAACTTAATTATCACAATTGTCAAAGACGCTGCTTTGGACTAACCTGACTCCTCCAGATGGATTTGCTCCGCATATCCATCTGGAAACCTTCCGTTGAAGTAATTTTGGGAAGGGGCGAAAATACTGGTTAGCTGATTGTCCTATGTTGGTGATAGACGGGCCAAATAAACCAATCAGATCAACGAAGCATATCACGTTCTAACAGAGCAACGACGAAAACACAACCACAAGCCAGGCTACTCTTGCCGAAACCAGTCGGGAGAAGAGCAAAAACATCTTTTCCTCAGAGAAAAGCCTCCAGAGCAGTGTTTTGCTCTTCTTTCAGTGAAGAAATACTCTGTAATTACGATAAAACTTGCTCGATAGCCACGCTAACGCTAGTTTCATCGGCTGAAGCCGCCATGTTCTTTAGACTGAACTGTCGCTCTTCTCGTTGCGTCACACCTCAACCTGCCTCAAAGCCAACGCTGATTGGACGTTCGTTTGGTGAACGGGTCCAAATTTTCTTTGACGGAGAGTCTCTAGACTGATTTGCGAGTGTAACATGGAAAGCTCACGAGATCAGGATGGTCTCACGAGGCTAGCTTTGGACACCTTTTTCCTCTAAAGTGAAAATGGTTGAATCCATGTTTGTTCCATTTTCACCATATCACCATGGTTAGCTGCTCTTCTCTCCTCAAGGACTTATGAAGAGAGAAGTGTTAGCCTTCAATTAAACATGGTTTAGTTAGTCAGTCTTTTTTAAAGATTAAAACAGACAAGCCTAAAACCTGAAACCAACCAAACCCCAAAGTCGGGGTCATAATCCTTTGATCTCATGGAGCAGCAGTGTCTCGGGAAACCTCTTAAACCTGCAGGACAGCGGCCCTGGAAGACCGACTTTGGGGATGCCTGCTCTACAGACATAAGACATTAAAAATGGTAATAAGAAAAGCATATTTAATTTTTTAAAGACATTAAAACATCACTTAGAAATAGACCAGACTGAAGACATTGGTTGGTGATACTGTTTTTATTACTATTATAATATTTCTGTTTTGCTTTTTAAATGTTTGTATTTGAACCTAGTTTGGGTCCTGAGACCATTCTTTGTTCTTAAGGATCCTTTAAAATGAAGTGATTGAAATAAAGGAGGAAAAACAGAAAAGCAATAACAATGTACTCACAGATACCAGGTGTGTTTTTGTATTGCTTCAAGCTGTAAGAAAAAAAATTTATTAATGTTAGAATGCTGACAAAACCCATTGCTTTTAATGCACTGTAGATCAGTTCAGGTTCAGATGACATTAAACATAACATTAGTCAGCAAATTCCTCTTTCATAGCAGGTTCCCATGGATACATTGGCCTGGCTATCAGCTAACAGTAGTCTGTTCCTCCTTTTAAGTTTGCATGACCTTCCACACCAGAAAAGTTTTTTCTGCCGCTGTCCTACATCCCCTCGTACTTTAGACACTCTGCAGTAGAACTACACACTGTGGAAACCATGGCATCAGTGCTGCACAGCATATCTGTTGGTTGGAGTGATGGAGCATCTGCTTTGTCTGTAGGTCGAGAGAAAGAATGCATTTGCCCATCAAAGATCCCTATTTCCTAACTGGTCCACAGCGTTTGCAGTGGGAATCGCTGAGAATCCAATGTGGCTTCTGTAGAAATGCAGCGCAACAGACAGAGGCGGAGAGACACCATCTGACCTGGTTTCAGGCTCCATTAATCAACGGCTCATCAGACCAACTCACAGCTTTGATTAAATCTGCGCTGCATGTGTAACCAGATGTTTGTCTCTCTGTTTTTTTATTTATTTAAAGGCTCCTGTGAAACACATGATTAAAACTGCTTCTTCCCCTTAAGCATGCATGAAGAATCAACCCAAGTGAAAATGTTATCCTTTAGTTTAAAATTTATGCTGCAGACAGAGTTCTGATGAAAATTACAGACAGAGAGATCATATTTCTCCTACTTGAGCTTCCCCTCAAATCCTTCCTGTTAAATCCAGAATAGAATTTAATATATATAAAATATATAAAGCCCTTAAAATAACAAAATTCAGAGATCTGATCATCCCTTATGTTCCTAGCAGAGCACTTTGCTCTCAATCTGCAGGTTTACTAGTGGTTCCTAGAATTTCTAAAAGTAGAAGAGGTGGCTGATCTTTTTGTTATTAGGCCCCTCTCCTGTTTAACCAAGAACAAGTTAATGTCCACGAGGCAGACACCCTGTCTACTTTTAAGGCAAGGCTTAAAACTTTCCTTTTTGAGCTTAAAGATAGTTAGAGTGGCTCAGGTTATCCTGAGCTATCTCTATGGTTACGCTACTATAAGCTTAGACTGCTGGAGAACATGAAGACCACTTCGCTCTCTGCATTATTCTTTATCTATTCTCCAATCCTCCATGATTTGTTTGTCTAACCCCAAACTTTATGTTATCTCTACTTTCTCTCTTCAAAGTGACTTCATCTTGTCTGGTTCTTTTTAGTTGTGACACCATCCTGGAATTAACAATAAGCTGGGCTTCTGCCATCAACAACAAGTCAACGTAATCAGCTAGTTTTCCTTATATAGAAAGGTTTTTACCAATCTGACTGTATGATCTGATTGAATTGCCTCTGTAAAGAGCCTTAAGATGAGATAAATTGAACTAAACTAAATTTTTCAAATCATCATGCAGAGAAAGCCGCATTGGAGGTTGGAAGTTCAGTTGTTTTCTCTTCTCTCCCTGCCTATTCTAGATTATTAAAATAAATTCCTTTCACACTTAAGGGGAAAAAGGAAAATGTCACTCTCATTAAAGTAAACATTGGGTCAATGAAAGTTCTTTTAATCTACAAATTCAAGCTATGTTCAACACAGTGATGGAACAGTTAACACCCACCATGAATCACAAATGGCTGGTTTCGAAGAAGTTGATAGTTCTTTCATTAATTAAGGTGAATTAATGAAAAGTTGAGTGTAAGGAAAAAGTGTCTCATAAAAATCCATGTAGGGGCAAAAGGCTTTAAAGAATTGTAAAGAGAACCTTTTCAAGAGCCGTTGGGTCATAATGAGATTCCCCATCCATCAACTGCAGCTCAATTCAAGGCTTTGGCAACTAACAGACATATCCATGAAAGAGTAAAACTGTCACTTTCTTTAGGCTACCTTACCCATAAGCAAAGAGTCTCAGATGTGTCAGACCCTTTAAATAAAACCATATATTTCACAGCATTTTATCAAGTCCAATGTGCGTACACTGCCTTCCAGTTAACTTTTGACAACTTAATGCTCTATTTTTCTGACTAAGCAGGTACCTCCTTAAACTAAAAGTACATATAATCATTTTAATGACTGTAGTTTCACTGATTAGCCAGGAAACTGGCCTCACCCAAAACACATTTGCAAAATAAAATCTTAAAGAGCCAATAAAGAAGACCAGCTGAAAACATCCTGGCATAATGATCAAGATTAAGCAAAAAATTATACTCTGATTTCCTGAGGGTCAACATGAGAAAGTCCATAATATAACCTTTTTTAAAATCACCATTGGTCTCTTCTGCCCTAGGATTTTTATAGAACTTTGTGTCCTAAACCACAATGATTCCTCAGTTAGCTGACATTAAGCCAAATGCCAGTCCTGTCAGGAATGTTTCTGCCCTTCAGCAGCACCCAAAGTCCCTGCACTCTATTCTATCTGTGGACCGTGTTGTCTTCTTTCTCTCTTGGTAAGGTCCTGTGTCTGGTTTAATTTACCTCCCATCTTAAAGTAAAGCTTGGGGCAGCATTCTCTCTCTCTGTTCTCGCTCGTTCTTAATTTGGAGCACAGACTCATAAACTCTAGCCTTTGCAGATAATGCGGTTGATTCTTAACCCTAGTTATCTATTGCTTGTAATCTAAATGCAGCGCGGTTTAGATCAAAGAAGGTTGTGAACTATAAGGACTACGTTTTGCCAATTTAACCACAAATAAACCCCCAAGAGCAGAAAGTTATAATATTTACCATATATATGTATTTTTTTAACTGTTGGGCTAAAATAGATCCGTCTCCAAATGTAATGCATGAACAGCTCTATGCAGTGCTTGCCTCTGCTAACTGTTTTTAAGTTGATAACATAACAAGATTGATTCATGTAGTTTTGGTCCAAATAAGATATAATGGAATACTTGGGACTAATTAATTATTTGTTTTTAAAGTATTTGGAGTGCTTTTAATCACTTTATGTCATGTCAATGTGTCTATTCCTCTCTCTAGCTGAATCGAAGCATTACCAAATATTCAAATGAGGTGATCACATCACATAGCAACTTTTAAGAGAGCCAGTAGTGACTTTCCTTGCTGAATAGTTGGTAACAGTGTTTGCTAACCTTCTATACAGCATGTAGAGAATGCTTAGTGTGAGGTATTGCATTCGAGTCAGTGAGTCGATGCAATCAACTGGTTTTCATTAGATAGAAAATGTTGAATCAATTTGACAGTATGATCTGGTTGAACTGTAAAGTGCCTTGAGATAACATGCATTGTTAATTGGCGCTATATAAATAAACTGAATTGAATTGATAATGAAAACCAAAAAGTTTTTTTTTCTGACACAGTGTTTCAGTTTTTTATGTTTGTATCTTCCTGTATGAGTTTGGACTTCTTACCGTGAGCCTTTTGTCCGGGTTGACTTCAATCATTCCTTTAAGCAAAGCTTGGCAGTCAGGTGGTATAAAGTGGGGCATGTGGAAAACTCCGCTCTTGACTTTCTCCAGAAGCTGCCGCAGGTTGTCATGGTCAAAAGGCAAGGCACCCTGACATGAAACAAAAATTATGATTTCATCCAATACACAGATGTTTGCTGTTGATTTTCTACATGGTTTAAGTTTTGGGTATCCTAAAAAAAAAGATTATTTTGGCACAGATCTCTGATCATAGATTCAATTCAATTCAATTCAGTTTATTTATATAGCGCCAAATTCACAACACATGTCATCTCAAGGCACTTTACAGTTCAACCAGATCAAATTGATACAAAGTTTTCTATCTAAGGAAAACCAGTTGATTGCATTGACTCATTGACTCAAATACAATCCCCCACACTAAGCATGCTTGTAGCGACAGTGGAGAGGAAAAACTCCCTTTTAACAGGAAGAAACCTCCAGCAGAACCAGGCTCAGTGTGAGCGGCCATCTGCCGAGGCCGACTGGGGTTCAAGGAGACAGAAGCAGAGATACAAAAAGCAGCTGTAAAAGGCGGCCCCGTCCAGGAAACACACAGCCAGGCAGACGAGCTCCAAGGCAGCTCCCATGCCAGAGGACGAAGAAAGCACATCCACTCAGTCACGGTCAGAGAAACAGGACCACACTGGAAAACAGGCCGATCTCCAACATCTATAAACAAGGGTGTTGATAGAAGCAGCACAGCTGATGTTTCTTTCCAGGATGACGTCACAGCCAAACAGGAACAGACGAGGCAAAGCTACTCTGAGGAAAAGCAGAGAGAGCAGAAGGTTAGAGATTGAACTAACAGATTCTGCAGAATAGGAGAACAGAGAGAGAATGAAGCAGAATGATGAAATGGGGGTCCCTATGTCCTCCAAAAGTCTAAGCCTATAGCAGCATAACTATAGAGATAGCTCAGGATAACCTGAGCCACTCTAACTATAAGCTTTATCAAAAAGGAAAGTTTTAAGCCTAGCCTTAAAAGTAGACAGGGTGTCTGCCTCACGGACTAAAACTGGTAGTTGGTTCCACAGGAGAGGAGCCTGATAACTAAAAGATCTGCCTCCCATTCTACTTTTAGAAATTCTAGGAACCACTAGTAAACCTGCAGATTGAGAGCGAAGTGCTCTGTTAGGAACATAAGGAACAATCAGATCTCTGATATAAGATGGAGCTTGGCCATTTAAGGCTTTATATGTGAGAAGGAGGATTTTAAATTCTATTCTTGATTTAACAGGAAGCCAATGAAGAGAAGCCAGGATAGGCGAGATATGATCTCTCTTTTTAATTTTCATTAGAACTCTGGCTGCAGCATTTTGGATCAGCTGAAGGCTTTTAACTACAGTTTGTGGACTTCCTGATAGTAAAGAATTACAATAGTCCAGCCTTGAAGTAACAAATGCATGGACTAGTTTCTCAGCATCACCCCTGGACAGGATATTTCTAATTTTTGCAATGTTCCTCAGATGAAAGAAGGAAATTCTAGAAACCTCCTTGATATGGGACCTAAATGACAGGTCCTGATCAAAAACAACACCAAGATTTTTTACTTTATTATCTGAAATCAGTTTAATCCCATCCAAATGAAGTGACTGGCTAATCAGTTTCTTTTTCAGAGACTCTGGTCCAAAGACTATAACTTCTGTTTTGTCTGCATTCAGAAGCAGAAAGTTAAGAGTCATCCAGGTTTTTATGTCTTCAAGACATGCCTGTAATCTATGTAATGGGTTAGCTTCATCTGGATTTATAGACAGATATAGCTGGGTATCATCAGCATAACAGTGGAAATTAATCCCATGCTGTCTAATAATTCTACCAATTGGGAGCATGTATAAAGTAAAGAGAATTGGTCCTAGCACTGATCCCTGTGGTACTCCACAGGTAACCTTTGAGCGTGTTGAAGATCTATCATTAACATGAACAAACTGAATTCGATCAGATAGATAAGATTTAAACCAGTCTAGTGCTGTTCCTTTAATTCCAACAAAATATTCAAGTCTTTCTAAAAGAATATTATGGTCAACTGTATCAAATGCAGCACTAAGATCCAAAAGGACGAGCACAGATACAAGTCCATTATCTGAGGCCATGAGAATATCATTAGTGACTTTCACCAGAGCTGTTTCAGTGCTATGATGAGCTCTAAAGCCAGACTGAAACTCTTCAAAAAGTTCATTATGGTGGAAGTGATCGCAAACTTGTTTGGCAACTACTTTCTCAAGAATTTTGGATAAGAAAGGAAGATTGGATATAGGTCTATAATTGACCAAGTCATCTGGGTCAAGAGACGGTTTCTTAAGCAGAGGTTTAATTACAGCAACCTTAAAAGCTTTAGGTACATATCCCTGTAACAGAGATAGATTAATCACATCTAAAATGGAGGAGGAGATCAAAGGGAATACCTCCTTAAATAACCTGGTTGGAACTGGATCTAACATACAAGTTGAAGGCTTAGATGAAGACAATAATTTTGCTAATTCAGAGAGTTCAACTGGATCAAAGCAGTCTAAACCCAGTTCAGATTCCATGACTACCTCAGGTACAATCGCGGATAGAGGAGTGCTTATGATCTTATTTTTAATAAGATCAATCTTATTTATAAAGAATCCCATAAAGTCATTGCTGCTAAGAGCAGGTGGAATGGACGGTTCAACAGAGCTATGGCTCTGGGTGAGTTTGGCAACTGTATTAAAAAGAAATCTAGGATTATTCTTATTCTCCTCTATTAATGAGGAGAAGTATGCTGCTCTTGCTTTACAAAGGGTCCTCTTATACAGCAGTAAACCATTTTTCCAGACTAGGAAGGACTCTCGCAGGCCTGTGGAGCGATATTTTCTCTCCAGTTTCCTAGCATTTTGCTTCAAAGTACGCAGCTCTGCATTAAACCAAGGAGCAAGCTTTCTATTTTTAACGGTTTTCATTTTCAAAGGAGCTGCGTTGTCTAAGGCAATACGCAGAGAACTAGCAACCCCATCAACAAAATCATCAACCTGTGAAGGGGAATAAGCTAAACTTTTGCACTCTGCAGCACTGCTCAGTGACACAGAGGAGAGAGAAAGTGAAGCAGATTCTTTAAAATTTATAACTGCACTATCTGATAAAGATCTACTAAAATTGAACCTTCTTTTGGGGGAGGAGAACTCTGTTAAAGTAATCCTGAAGGTTATTAGAAAGTGGTCAGAGAGGACAGGGTTGTGAGGAAATACTGTTATTTCTTCACATTCTATGCCGTATGTCAGCACAAGATCCAAAGTATGAAGATGAGAATGCGTGGGACTATTCACATTTTGAACAAAGCCAATAGTGTCTAAGATAGCATTAAAGGCTGCTCTTAAGCTATCGCCTTCAATGTCAGCATGGATGTTAAAATCTCCCACTATGATGACCCTGTCAGTATTTAATACCAAATCAGAAAGGAACTCTGAAAACTCATCTAAAAATTCAGAGTAAGGACCTGGTGGACGATACAAAGTTACAAAAAGAAGAGGTTTTCTTGCCTTGAAATTTGGATCAGGGAAATTAAGGGTTAAATGTTCAAAAGAGTTGTAGGTATTAACTGTTTTGGGAGTAATCAGTAAGTCAGACTGGAAGATTGTTGCTACTCCTCCTCCTCGCCCAGAACTTCTGGGGATGTGAAAATTTAAATAGCTTGAAGGAGTTGCCTCATTTATGCTCACATAATCCTCTTGCTGCAGCCAGGTTTCTGTAAGGCAAAACAAGTCAATGTGATTATCACAAATCAAGTCATTAACTAGTAGACTTTTAGAGGAAAGCGATCTTATGTTAAACAGACCGCATTTAATTGTTTTAACTTTTTCCCCAATTTGAGTTATTTTGATTTTAATTAGATTATCATGATTTACTCCTTTGGGAATCTTTGCTAATTTATTAGATTTTGGTCGTGGGCAAGACACTGTCTGGATGGAGTAAAGAGTGGGTAACAGTAGAGAAGCTGCAGAGATGTGTGTTAAACTACAACTCTGCTTCCTGGTCTGCACCCTGGGTGGTCAGGGTTTTGGAGGACTAATAAATGTGGCCAGATTCCTAGAAAGAAGAGCTGCACCATCCAAAGTGGGATGGATGCCGTCTCTCCGAATCAGACCAGGCTTTCCCCAAAAGGATTGCCAATTATTAATGTAGCCCACGTTGTTTTCAGGGCACCACCTAGACAACCAGCGGTTGAATGACGACATGCGGCTAAACATGTCATCACTGGTCAGATCAGGGAGGGGACCAGAGAAAATTACGGAGTCCGACATTTTTTTTTTTTTTTTTTTTGGCAAACTTACACACCGATGGCAGTCATACTGATGTTATCATAATCAGGTGATCACAAATTTTTTATTAAAACCTATTGGGACATCAAGACATGCATTATTAATGCCATAAACGGCTTTTTCCCTCAAATAAATTTTGTTAACAGAACATGAACCACTAACTGTGCTCTAAAGTAGACTAACCAATCAAAGATAAGCAGATATAAAAGATATATTATTCCATGTTCTCACAGGAGATTGGGATAGTAGGAACTCAGCACAACATAAACAATAAAAGCAGCGACTGGGTAAATACAACAACTGTTCTGGAAAACACTCAGATTGAAATATCAACCCAGAGAATATGCCAGCTCCTGTCCTAATGGTAAAACCCCCCACACAAAATGTGTTTGCAAAACACAAAATTAGACGTTGATATATTTTCTGTTATGTTTTATTATTGACTTTAGGGAATCAGGATGTTTGCATCATTTAGAAATTGTAATACTGGGCAAATAAAATCTACGCATGGTGTTCCTTACGGCTGCATTTTTGGGCCACTGGGATTAACTAGATAATCCCATAGTGCAGATAACACAATGTTATATCTTATTATGTAGTGCTAAAAATAAATGACTTAATACATATTTCTCAGTAAATATGTCCATAATATAAACAAAAGATATAAATTACTGTCCAGCTTCTCTACTGTTATCTACCTATTTCTCCATCCCATCAGTGTCTTGTCTACGACTGAAATAAAATAAATTTCAAATAAAAAACCACGATAGTCAAATTAAAATTAAAATGACTCCAAATAAGAAAAGGTTTTCAAACCATTAAATGTGATTAATTTAACATATGATATGTGCTCAAAAAATGTTAATTATTAGCTTTATCTGTGATAATGAAAGTAATTCATGTTGTCTTACAGAGACCTGGCTGCAACTAGAGGCATATGTTAGCATAAAAGAGACAAATTCCTCCAACAGTTCAAATGTTCACCTTAAATTTAAATGTTCACCAGGAATTCTGGAAAGGAGGAGATGCAACAGTATTTCAGTCTGACTTATTGATTAGTTAGAAGCCAGTCAATAGCTACAGTTTTTCTGAACATTTAACCCTTAGTTTCCCCCATCCAATTGTAAAACAATATAGCATATTATCTTTGTAACTTTGTATCTTCCACCAGGTTCTTACTCTTAATGTTTAGATTAGTTTTCAGAAATTTCATGGTTCCTATCTGAATTAGTGTTAAACTGACAAGGTAATCCATGCCAAAAAATATAACATTTAATAATATCTAAGACTCAAATGGCTTTTTTCAAAATGTGTATAGTCCCACACATTCTCATTTTTATACTTTGGACCTTGTGCTGACATATGGCATTGATTATGGAAAAATAATAGTATATCCTTACATTCCTGTCCTTTCTAACTATTTGTTAGTACACTTCACACTGAATTTAACAGAGTTCTCCTCTCCCAACAGAAAGTTTCACTTTAACAGTTAGTGCAGCATCAAATTTAATGAGCCTGTTCCACTTTAATCTCCTCTGTTTTGCTGAATAATACTGCTGAGGGCAACCATTTAATCTATTCCCCTTTTTTCTGAGTTTTTTCTCAGATTAGATAGGAATCATGTATGCATATAGGGTGACAATGTCTCTCCAGTTTACTTATATAAATAAAAATAATTAAATCAATTAAAATTAAAATAAAGAGTTAATATTCTGGCTGCAGAAATGGTTAAAATAAAGATTAACAGAAAGCTCAAACATCCACATCGAAACCTGTGCTCTAGGTTGAAACATCTATAAAAATTCTAAAATCAGCCTGTAACTCTTTTCTCAATATAAAGATACACAAAAAGCTGATGCAACATTTTGTAATTGCAGCTTAACAAGCCTTAGTCCAATAACCTATCGCCAATTGTGGAAATTGACCAATTGGTAAACTAAATTGGACAGCATTTTATTATTCCAAGGATCAACTATCAACTATATGACTAACAATTTAATCATTTCTCTGTATTTATCAATTGTCCATGTGTGCTTTCGGTGTCTTTTCAATCTACAGACCTGCTTCTGTAAAGTATTTCTAAATAGCCTTCTACATTATGAAACATGCCTTTCCTCTGCATAATATCAATCACTTAGGTTTCCCTGACTGTTAAAGTTCTCTCTGTAGCCTTGTAGCCCTCTAACCTCTGCTGTGCGGCACTGGCACTTTACTGAATCAATCCTTGATTAAGTAGAAAAGCTGATTGCCAGTTACCTTTCCATGCACTGATCATATATCTGATTAGAAGAGCTGACATGTAGTTTAGAAACCAACTGCAATGCTACTTTACACTTGTTAGAATTAATCTAGCTAATGTATTAAGGGGATGAATGTGTGGGAAAAGGAACTTGGTAGTAAGTGAGGAAACATGAAGCAATGAATAGGAGGATCGGGGATCAAAAGGGAAGAGAGGGAGAGGCATGTTAAAAGCAGGATCTAACAGGTCAAAACTTGTATGTAATGGAAGTGGCATAGAAACCAGGTGAGTCCCATGAAGTGAATGTACAATGCCTATGTGTGCGGGTGTGATGATGGGGAACAACAGGAACATTACTATATGACATTAAACCAAACACAGAATAAAGCCTGAACTCAGTCGTGAAAATATTTCTTAAAAGCCAATAAATGGCATACTTTTAAATCTCTTACATTTGTTACAGGAATAGTGGGACAATAAACTGTTTGAAAATAATGATTTTGGGCAAAATATTTACAAAAGATACATAATTGTAAAAAAAAAAAAAAAAAAAAAAAAAAAAAAAGGTCCTCACCACAAGTAGAGCAAAGAGAATGACCCCACAGCTCCAAACATCAGCCCTGCGACCATCATACCTCTCTCCCTTTAACACAGAAACACAAACGGAAAGCATTAGAAATGAACACACACTCACAATCAGGAAGTAAACACTCAGAGCTAAACAACTCACCCTGATGACCTCTGGGCAAGCATAATGAGGAGATCTGTGAGGAAACAAAAGGAAAGTGTCAACAAATAATAAAAAAGAACAACGGTTGCTTCTAAATTAAATAGAAAACCAAATAAGGTGAGCCGAGGTCAAGATAAATCCCTTCCTAACTTAATCTCTGAGGCATGGATGGTTTTAAATGTTTAAAATCCTCTAGAGTGGTGAGAGTTACAGAGAGAACAACCAAACCCCTGGAAAGAAGCAGCTCTTCTCTGCAAAAGGAAAAAATGGTTGAACTTTATTAATGTAAATCAAATAATTATTCAATTTCAACTCAGTTTTTTTATATAGCCCCAATTCACAACACATGTCATCTCAAGGCTCTTTACAATTTACCAGATAATACAGTAAAACTGATTCAAAGTTTTCAATCTAAGGAAAACCAGTTGATTGCATCGACTAATTGACTCAAATGCAATCCCTCCCACTAAGCATGCTTGTAGCGACAGTGGAGAGGAAAAACTCCCTTTTAACAGGAAGAAACCTCCAGCAGAAGCAGGCTCAGTGTGAGGCTGTAAAGGCCAACTGTGAAATCATTATGGAATCATTGAATGAGTGAATCACAAATGAAATGAAAATTTAACCCAGCAATGTGCAACACTAAAAAAAAATACCTACAACAGTCCAACCACACAAATGGGTCTCCAGTTAAAAGACAACTGAAGAAATTAACTGTAGAAACAAACAAGAACATTTTGAAAGAAAACTAGTAACACACATTGATTTGTTTATCTTCATGTCATATTAGAACATAGTTTTGAAGAAGGAGAAAGAACAGTGTTTTTAAACTATAAAGGTTTTAAAAGGTGTGCCATTTATAAAGACTGTTTCCTCTGAATTTGATTTTACCAGCTACTATAACACTTACATTTGCATGTCTTAAAAAAAAGCTCCAGCTCTGATGCTTTGGATAGAAGATGTTATATGAACTTCACTATTCAATTCTAGCTAAATATTTCTAATGGAATTTCAATCTTGGCTTTGCTTTGGTCATTCTATCAGATTAATTTGTTTTCATTAAGCTTTTTAAATGATCTATTTTATAGATATTTCCTAATCACGTGAGCCAGTCCTTTTGCCTTCTCCTATCCAGGGTCGCAACACCAGCCTTGCAGACAGACTTGACAGAGGTTTTTAGACCAGATACCCTTCCTGTTGCAGCCGGTAATCAGAATAATTTTCCCCTTTTCTATAAAAAGCAACAGTTTCAACTCACCCACAGCTGGTCTCCAGTAGACTGTCCCCAACCTGCAGTGAGGCCATACCAAAGTCTGCTATCCTTATGTTATTCTTCTCATCCAGCAGAAGATTCTCTGGCTTCAGATCTCTGTGACTAAAAAAACAGAAAATAATGATAGTTATGCATCTATTTAAAATATCACTAAAAAAGCGTACATAGATTGTAATATTAGCATCTTTTAATAGGAATATTTGGTGGAACAAGCAGTTCCCCCCTTAAAGGTATAGATGCTATTCTTTATTTACTTTTAGCCATTTGTGTGGTATGTGCAGTTGTTTGAAAATGGCAGAGGGTTGTAAGACAAAAAGTATCTACAAAGTGTATAAGAAGAAAAGAAAGGCCTCGGAATAGGCAGATATATCCCAGAATGCTTTGCGTGGAGAGCTCTTCTCGCAAACCATTATGGGATTTGCTGTCACAGCAGGCCACTCTAGTTTTCTTTCAAAATGTTCTTGTTTGTTCCTACAGTTAAGGGCCTTTTCTCAATATGTGTACTTGTGCGTTCTCGTGTGCTCATCAAACGTCATCATCCTCAAGCCCCTAGTACTGTTATAATTCAGAACAGCAGACCGAGAATGAACAAAGTCCCCCTGGCTGTTGTTCTCGGTCATCCCTATTTGGCGAGTATGCATCAGAGCAGACTTGTCCGTTCTGGAGATTATTCCCCCACTAAATGAAAAAAGTTAGAATTTATTATTATCTAGAGACTATTAATAACAGGAGGTGAAATGCAGCTCCAGACGAGCCGAGCGTGTGGTGATGTCACAAATACGCTTCTGTTCCAATAGACCCATATTTATTCTCCTGTTCTCCCCAACTCCATACTTTACTGTTTTCTTCTCAAGAACTTACTTGGAGAGGACACCAGTCCGTACTCACATTCTAGTGAAGTGAGAAGCGGCGAAGGTCTTATTTGTTTCTACAGGTCTGCAGTTGTCTTTTAACTGGAGACCTATTTGTTTGTCCAACCAAACAAAAGACCCATTTGTTTGGTTGGCTTAATTTTTCATTGAATTTTTCATCTCTCTGAATGGTAAGTTAACTGTGTTCCCAATAAAGTCCATTATATAGTCCCTGCTCCATATAGTGATTGAAGGGTTTAGGGGTTAGGGCAGGCATTTGGGCGCAGTAAGCTTGTATGAGCTCTGAGAACAGCAGCTTTTAAACAGAGCGTGCATGAGGAGAAATGGGCTTGTGCATGCTCTTGCACGTGTTTGATAGGCGTTCCGTCTTGGGAGCGGGCACAGGGTTGTACTTTAGATTAGATTACTAAGTATTATACTCAAGACAAAAATATGAAAAACACAAGAAAAGGGAGTCATGCCTCACTCAAAGTCTTTAACTGCGGATCAAAGAAGAAAGCAGGGTGTATTGCGAATAAAGAAGATGAGAGCGGAACAGACACCAGAGGCTATAGACTCACTCCGTACCTCTGTTAACGCAGCCATGCAGAAGCATATTGTTGGCTTGTTTGTTGTTTTTTAGCATGATTATTAGGAAAAGTTGTGAACAGATTTTAAGGTTTACCAGAGGTGCACATCATAGAAAAGAACAATTGTTTAAATTTGATCATTATCAAGATCATATCCAAGTTCTAGCTATGGGTTTAAGCAGTACAGGGCAGCCCGGGCCTTCAAAGCCTTCACTGCTGACCTAAAATCAAACAGAAACATTAACCTACATTTATAACCTAAACTTTATTTTCTTTCTATCCAACTGTATTCATTTATTCCAAAGAATCTATCAAGATGTATCTAGAATCAGCAGTGCTGGTTTTTAAAAAATATTAATAAGGAATGTTTTCTTCAACCAATCAGATTTCTGATTTGCCTTATAGGGCTGCTATTGGGTCCAGCAGAACTTCAACATTTTCTTTCATCTGATTGGTCAGTTAGAGTAAAAACGTTTACAGCCAAATTAATGTAGTGACAGTCTGCAGTTTAGATTCGCTTTGGTTAAACATTTTCTGGTAATTAGATGCCTAATGAATCTGAACGGCTAATGATGATGTAAATGTGGCGGGCGGCGGTTATGGACTAAAGGTTTGTCGTTGCCTTAACTGGACTTGTTGCTTAAATGATATCTTTATTCATCCTCACACTAATCTTCCTTGATACATTTCATATTTGATTACTGGTGGTTTATTTTACTTTATGGGGGCGACAGTGGCGTTGGATGTAGGAGTTTGTCCTGACATCGAAGGGTTGACGGTTCAAGCCCCAACTCCGACTTTCAGTCTCGTTGTGTCCTTGGGCAAGACACTTCACCTGCATTGTCTACTGATGGTGGTCAGAGGGCCCAGTGGCGCCAGTGTACGGCAGCCCCGCTTCTGTCAGTGAGCCCCAGGGCAGTTGTGGCTACAATGTAGCTTGCCACCGTCAGTGTGTGAGTGAATGGGTGAATGAATGTAGTGTAAAGCACTTTGGTCAAGTCTCCTGACTTGAATAAAGGCGCTATATAAGTACATGCCATTTACCATTTACCATAAAATGTGAAAGTGGTATTATTAATCCCTTGACAGCCATTGTTGCAAATATGCAACAAAAACCTTTATATTACCAAGATAACATAAGTATTCCCTCAGTGCCAGTTGTTACACATTAAGTTAACAGGACCCTTTGACAAGCTTTTGCTTCTGTTACAACTGGTCCCTAAAAATGAATGTTAATACACACACACACACACACACACACACACACATACTTGTTCTGTAATATATAGTGAGGTCCATGTGTTGACTCCCATGGACTTCGATTGATTTTAAGTTATTTTCCATCCTTTCTAAGCCCTAACCCTAAACCTAACCATTACCGATGCAAACCTCAACCTAACCCTAACCCAATTGACACCTTAGCCCTAAACCTAACCATTAGCAAAATAGCATGTCCTCACTCTGAAGATTGCCTATATATATATATATATATATATATATATATATATATATATATATATATATATATATATATATATATATATATATATATATATATATATATATATATATATATATATATATATATATATATATATATATATATATATATATATATATATATTAGAGCTCAATAGTAAGGCAAATAAAAGTAAAGGACATTTACAGATTATGCTTTTTACACACCATATGGAATGGTTATGGCAGAAATCCAGGGCAGAGATGATTTGTCTGAAGAACTTGCGAGCCTCCTTGGGAGTCAGCCTTCCTTTTTTCACCAAGTAGTCAAACAACTCTCCACCAGACACATGCTCCAACACTAAATACCTGAGAAAAAGATGGAAAAATATAAACAAGGAATTGTTTGAATTATACCTTCTTATGTGGTTATTCCCCTCAGATTCAGATAGAAATGCAGCAACAGTAAAGCTCACTCTTATTTTTAGAGAGCAGTCAAGATGAAGACACAAAGATACTTACAGATATTTGTTATTTTCATAGACATCATAGAGCTTCAGAACATGAGGGTGCTCTATTAGTTTAAGAATAGCTATTTCTCTCTCCACCTGCACAGAAGGAGGGAGGGAGAGAAGCAGAGAAAGCTTAGAGGAATAATAAGGTTAAAAATGATGGAGATTGAAATGTCAGTTAGGAGCGGAAGGTAAACCTTATATACTGTGAGAAGCAAGTAGAGATATAGTAAAATGCAAAAGCAGTAAGAGACTGAATACTTAGTGAGGTCAGATATAGTAAAACAGATAGGATGAGTTACAAGCAGGGGGTGAACATTATGTTAGACATGCAAAAAGGGGTGAAAACCTTTCTGAATCATTACACAACTGATTCAGAACCCAGTTCAACCATTTTGTTCATTGTTGATTTTTACAATGAACTTCCACTTTAGTTTATAATTTCTCTGCAATATTTTATTAACGAATAGATATCAGGAAATCCAGTGTCCTGATTCCTTCTGTATGCTTTCTTTTTTTCAGCTGATTCCTTGTGTTAGCTCCTGGAAACAGACTATTTTCTGTTTAATGAACCACATTTTGTTAATATAGCCTTACATTACTGGGTCATTACCTGCTAGAAGACCCAATAATGACCCTAGCACCATTTTTCTATTTGAATTGCAAAATGCTAAAGTCATCCAAGATCGTCATGTCATGAGGTGTAAGAAGGTTCATAAGCACCTTTAGAAGAGAAACAGGCCCGCTCTATCCAAGAGCCTCTCCTAACAGGGGGATGGAAGATGTTTTTCCACATATTCATTCTTTCTTTCATGTTAAACAAGTTTGAAGCTCACCTTTTTCACTGCGGTTTCTTGAAAATGGTCCTAAGAGAAAAAGTGTCTACGAAGTGTATGAAAAGAAAAGATAGGCCTCAGAAGAGGCAGATATATCCCAGAATGCTTTGCAGCCCTAAAGATCACTCTTAGTCTTGTCAGCTGAAGTCGCAGTAATGTCAGTAAACGCCACCCCACAGCTGGATTGGTGAGAGATTAATGCCTCCTAAAATGCCTCTCAAAAAGTTAGTAGGTATGTAGATGGTACTCCGTTTGTTGGGAGATTTGGTGACTCAAGATATCAATATTTACTGTAGTTCTCTAATATATAGAGCTTTATCCCAACATAGCTGGAGGGTAAAACCGGCTTCTTACCCCATTGTTTACTTTTTGGTAGTTTTAGAAGTTTTTCTAGATGCTCTAACAGTATCATAGGTCTAGTTTCACCATTGGTTCTCTACTGTTAGGGTTAGAGAAAACTGCTAATGCATTATTGGCTCTTTTAGGCCAAGAACATTGAGTCTAACCAGACAAGTTATGAGTAGGTCTGGCTGGCCACCCTAGAGGTTTCGGTGAAACATAAATCTATGGGGGTTGGTTGTGAAACCTGTGTATTAGTCAAGGTGCCCCCTTAATCTGTCAGCTTTCCATTCAGTACAATGAGAATGGCATTGTGGGAGTTTGAACCTGGACCTTGAGAAAGGGGTAGACTGCCATGTTGTGTATAATTTGTTTCTCCTGAAATATTCTGTCCCTGAGTTCTTACATATTGTGAAATTAGGTCTAGGAACTTATGGAAATAAACAAAGAGCAACATTACTTCCGTAGCATGTTTTGATATCCGTCCTATTTCATTATCACATAAAAGATGTACCCAGATGAAACAGAAGGGGATGGATTACATCTTCAAAGTTCCTAGACGAAATGACAATAGCAAAGCATAATTAAGTCATATCTATTTAATGTGAACTGTTAAAGCTTACAATGAAAGATTTAGCCAAAAACATGATCCAGAAATATTTGAATTATCCCTTTGAATGAATGCACTATAAGTGACGGTAGTTATTTTCTGTTTTCCTACCTTGTACAATTTTATGTTGCATCACTAAAGGATAAGGATATTTAAATGTTTTACACAACTTTTTTTTCAGGGATGCCATTAAATATGTTGGGTATTGTATAAGCTGTGTATGTTCGTTAGAAAACATATTTTTTTTTAACACTGTTTGCCTCTTGACCTCCACAGATCACTGCCTGCCCAGCTCTTCATCATTGCCCATGTGCTGCTCTCAGCTCTAAAAGTTCCTCCTCCACATGTCAATAAGAGCCTCATCTGCAGTCTTGTTACATCAGTCCTATTAATAAGACTATTCTACTGCCTGAAATCTTAATGTTACATGTTTTCTGATTTAAAATATTGTAATCATTTTAAGCATGTGTTTCTTGGTATTTGTGCAGCAAAACCATTTTTTCCTGGTGGACAACTTCACCTGCTTAAACAGATCTCTGGTTTTAATAAAAAAGCACAATGTCTAAAGCAGAATTGTGTTCATTGCTACAATTGTTTTTCACATAATGATTGCTACTTCATTTAGTATGAAAGGCTGGATGCCTCAATAATCTCTTATGTTTTAGATGACTACTAAACTGGTCCTGCCATCAAAATTTTTGTTTCACCTAGCTATTTTTCTGCCATTAGAAGGGGCACTGTGGTGTGATGTAAGAATCTCAGACATTTTTCTGTGTGTGAACAATAATTGCTGAACCTAACCTACAACTGTTCAACTGAGTCTATCAAAACTTTTTCCCATCTCATTTTTATATGGTCACAAGAAACAAATTCCTCTGAAAAAGAGTGGGAGACATATCCTTATGCCTTTAAGAGCGCTGTTATGCAACAGTACAATTAGGGTGCTGGAAGACATAATGTCCACTTTTCCTGATATCGCCATATAATAATAATTGAACTTTATTGATCTCACATTGGAGACATTTATCTCTGCATTTAACCCATCCCCTCATGAAGAAGTGGGCTGCCATTGTGCAAAAAATCAGGGGTTAAGGGACTTGCTCAGGAACCCAGAGTGGAGGCAGTGGGATTTGAACTGGGTAATTGCAACCTTCTCAGAGCACAAGAGCACTGCTCCACTAGGCCAACACTCCCTTAATCAACTACTGACCTTAATCAACTACTGACCAATTTTGCAATATATTTTGTTAGTTAAACTCTTAACTTTTTATTTTCTCTCTGTTTTTTTCTGTTTGTAGCAGCTGCATTTGGTCTGACATTCTAGCTGTGACACGATATAGGTACCAGATCTGCACAAGTGATCAGATCAGGTAAGGGCCCTTCTCCTGGTGATGATATGATATGATATGGCAACGCCTCATCTACAAACTGTATCGTGGTCGCTTAATGAAATCACACTTTCTATTAAGGGTCTCTATTCATCATTATTTTAATTTTTTTCTATTCAACATTTCATATGGTGACTTAGGGTAGACAAAAGTAGAAATGGTAATAAACAAAGAGCTACTTAATATTCTCGATCTTGATAGCAAGTATTGCAAGTTTTAACAAGGTGATACACAAGTTCACTTTTAATGAAAATCTGAAGACAGGAAAAGACAAATTAAACATATTACAAAAACAATGACCTTCGTGGAGATTATAGCAAAAAAAAAACAGCAGCTATTCTAATCCCAGAAATTAGATGGCTCTTGTTAACAATAAGTTTAAAGTCACATCGCCTATTTTGTGTACTTTATCAAGTTAAAAGAGGCTAACCTGTTAGCTACTGAGCACAGCTCTCCAACCAGGGTCTTTTATACCATATTCTTGCATTCTTGTTATTTAGTTAAACAAAAACAGATTTCTTTCAGTTTTCATTGATCATCATACACACCAACACTGCAGGCGCTAAAAGACGCTGCCTTATGTTAAGCCGGGCATACACTGTCAAATTTGCAATCATTGCAAGCAGCTACAGCTCAAACTGTACTAGAAAAAAACGCAGGGTTTAAAAGTTCACAGATCACGATGTATGTTGTGACGCTCTGATGCAATATACCTGCTTACACTGTATATCTAAAAACCACATGTCAGACTCAGCGCCAAGAGATGGCGCTGGTCAGACGCGTCAATCTGGAAGAAGAACTCCTTTGTACGCACATGCGCAGTGCTCGAGGTTCTGCTAAATCGGGTCCTAGACACTCGTAACTCTGCTTCAACAGCAAGATTTGTCCACGAACACCTCACGACCGCCAACTGAATTCAAAACATGTTTGATTTTCTCCCGACCTTACGATTCCTTATCAGGAGGTGGTCGTGAGAGGCTGATCGCCCCTCGTTACTCCCTATATACGAAACTATGCAGGACGCACAATCAGACTGAAACTCGGCCCGATCAAAAAATTCTCGCACAGGTGGAAAATTGACCGGAAAAGGGAAAAAAAATCGTACAGTGCATGCCCGACTTTACTATAGTTGTCCAGACCAACTGTAGTGTTTCACGTCCTCATGGGGTCCAAGCAGACCTGACCACCCGAGCAGATCTGGTGCCTACATCAGTCCTTGAAGGATTAGTGTGGCTATTGCTGCAAACAGCTGTTCTCCTAGAGATGATACAGTTAAACCAATGGCTGAGCTTTAGCTTTATCTAAGCGTAACTTCTGTCTTCCATCCTATAGGTTTGAAAACTGGTTCAGAGTTTATCAGTTTAGTTCCTCTCATAGATGAAGCCCTAAAAGATCTAAAAATACCAGTGCTTAATCTTAAGGGGGCTTTTCCTCATTGTCGCTACATGTATGCTTAGAATGATCAATTGATGCAAAGTCTTAAACAAAATGCAAGCAGATGTCTACTTTAGCTACATGTTCATCTAAGAGAAAATAAATGAAGAGAAATGGTAATTCAATCAATGTTATATGTTTAATGTCCTCGGATAGAACACTTTTTTAAACTAGTTTGCTAAATTACCTGCATTGAGATCTTTTTTTTGTAGAGAGCCTAAAGATGATGTGTTGGGAATTAGAGCTGTATAAATGAACTGAACTGAAACTGAACTATTTATGTGGACATTTATGCACAAGAATGATGTTTTTTGTAGAAAACTTTTAGTAAATAATAGAAACTGATTGTGTGTAAAAAAAAAAAAAATACTCTGAATAGTATTTGTTGGAAGTACTTAAAGGGTTTTGAGCATAACATGTTCTGAATGGTGGAATAATATATTTAAAATGTGTGCAGCTCCGAACAGCTGCTGGACTCACTGTTGCTGCTCTTTCCTGCTGGTTTAAAGCTCTTTACTTTCCCACGCGACTGCACTTTAAAAGACATAAACTAGAACTTGGAGAACTCAGATGATGACCTTTGAGTTCTCAAATAGCAGAATAAATAGCAGAATATATAAATGTAGACACCAATATATCCCTGTGATAAAAAATACAAACATTAATATAAATCATTATCCAAAATTCTTTAAAAATGTTCCTTATTAGTCTTTGGAATGGATCATTTCCCTCTTATAAGCATATTTGTACAAGCAGGTGTCCATAAATGGCCTAAAAGAGGGAAAATGAGGCAGACCATTCACACCACACACAGGGATTGAATATTGACTTCTAAGTTTAGGTCATGCGAGCTGTCCTTTAAATATTCTCCATTGGGCTCAACTATGGGAGTAAATACAGAGGTGTGTATTTCACTCCAGACCTACATCCATTTCAAAATCTGTGGGAGGAGCTAAGAATGCTAAATGCAATTGTTCTTTATTCAATCTAAGCTAACTTGAATAATCTTTGCAGGAAATGGAAAAAAATCAGCTGTGATTGATGCACAAGTTATTGACACAGTGGGGCTGGGGGGACAAACGGGCCCAGGGTAGAGGGGGGGCCCTGAATCAACCCCCTACATCTTTTGCTGCACATATTATTATTTTATAAAGATATTTACAAGAAAATTGTAAAATACTTAATTGTAAAATTCTTAAGTTTCATAAAATATTTTCCTATTATTAATTTCTTTGGATTATCCACTGCAGTATTGGGAAGCATACCCTCCATCCATTCCTTCTAACTGGTTATGGCGCTAATGCAGTTTCTCGGAAGTTTGTCAAGCTGCTATATGTAAGGCTGGCTATGGCTGCGCTGCAGGTGGAGACAGGAAAAGGCAGAACCTGAATCTTCCCCTCTGTACACGGACAAACAGCAGCTCCATCGATTTAACATGAAGGGTGCAGCGCAATGCTGCTGTGGATGTGAATAAATAGGCAATCCTTCTGTAGAGCCCTAAATGATTGAGAAATATTTTTTTGGTCTTATTTTAAAATGTTACACAAGCAGAAATCAAACAAGTAAAAATCTATAAATGGGAACTAATGCGACTGGAGCCTGTATGGAAAGCAAAACGTGCCGCATATTTCATAAAATAAAAACGTGAAAGATCTCTATTTGTAAATGTTAACATATAAATATTACCTAAGATGCTTGCATTAAATAAACAAATATATATTTTTATCCTTAATAAATACATGAGATGCTTGCATAAAATATACGGGCAAGACTCATCAATTCTGTCTCAGCTGGCCTGGGGCTGCGTGTATTTATATATTTCATCAGTCTTTCATATCGCATATTAATCTCTAGATTATTTTATGTGGGATGAACTGAATTAAAATGTTTGGAACCTTTTAGCTCTAAAGGAGGGCAATTAAAAAAAAAACATTTTAACGTATCAAGATTTTTTAGGACTCGTACAATCATGTAGAGTATAGTGTAAATTTACCATCATTATTATTGCAAGCAAATAGTATGTTTTTTGTAAATGAAAAAATGATAAAAAAAAAAATCGAATCCAGAAAGGAAACTTTTATTTATTTATTTTTTAAACTCACAGATTTAATATTTTAAAATAATATTTTTTATACGTTTTTTTTCAGATGGAGTTTTACAAATTGCATTCTTTATCATTTGTGTTTCACATATTCCATTCTCTTCCCTTTAAGCCCAATAAAAACACTCGAGCATGATTTGATTTTGCCAAAAATTTTAAATTGCGATTATTTTTAATCAGAATTGCAATTTTATTTGGATTTTTCTTTGCACCAACCCCAAGCTTCTGGCTTTAGAAAGCGTACTTACCCAGAGAACATTGTTCAAGAGAATAGAATAGAATAGATAATCCCTATATTCTTCCACAAGTGAAATTTTGGTTTTTACGGCAGCAAAAAGATTATAGAAAAAACGGTCACACAAATATGCACCTTAAAAGAATAACATAATAGTGTAAAGTTAAAAGATAAACAATAAAATACTGAACTGTAAAGTGTTTCACAATATAAAAACTGTGCAACTGGAGAATAAATAACCAATAAACAGCTATGGACATTTCTACAGTAATGGATATTTGAAAATAGCAGCAATATCAGAGATGTGCTAAATGACAGCAGCATGTTATTTTACCGACTACAGGACCTTTCTGTACAAATTGTGTGGAAACCTGTTTACTTCTACTTGCATGCATGGATCTGAGCGTTAGCTGCAATTCTCTCTACATTTCTGTGTTGTGAAAAACTCTTCAAGTGTTTTAACACCACCTAAAGGGCTGGAGGGAGGAATGTAGTGTCTTTCTCATGCTATATGTATATAAGTATAGTGAGATTAATCATCAGTGCCTCTGTGATTTGAAAATTCTCAATTTTGTTAAATTGTGATTATATTGTAAATGTAATTAATTGCCCAATTAAGACATTTTCGTTCTGTAAAGCACTTCTTTACTTGCACCAATAATGGTGACTCCAGAGAAGAGCTACTTTGCTTTTACACAGACCTAAAGCCAGAAGAATTTTGTTGTGTTTTTGTGAAACCAACCCCCAAAATATCAATGTATTCATCACAAAGCTGCAGAACGTCCCCTCTCATGCTAAGGATGCTCACTGCAGGCAGAAGACATCAGGATTGAAAAGAAATTTTATTTTAGTCCACTTTGTCTGGAACGGCTCTCATCAGAGGGCTTAATTAGCAGACTGAAATCACTCCTATTGTTCAGCACAGAGAGACAGTGCCCACACACTCAGAAGAAGCACCGACGGGCTTTTACTGACAGAAATAACCGGTGCTGTTGCTGTTCCTGCAGAGGACAAGCTTTAAAAAAATGACAGACATGCAGACCGACACGCATGGATGATTCAGAGAAAAATGAAAAAGGTAGTTCCATACCTTCATTAGAACTGATTCTGAGAGTTTTTCTCTGTTCACAATCTTTATGGCCACCTTTTGGCCCGTAATACAGTGGACACCCAGTTTCACCAGGCCTGAGAGGCAGACAGAGGGAGGGACAAAGTGTTGAGAGGAGTGAAAACAGGAAGGAAGCAACAGTGATAAATAATTCATCATGTTTTACTGACAATGTCACAAACTCTGCTTAAAATAAATGCCACTCTTTAGGGAAACGTCTCTGACTTCTTACTCCACAAATACCATCAGGACAAATATCTCTGGTAAAGCTGTAGCAGGCAATTTAGAATTAAAGCTTAAAAAATGACAGGTTTGAGAATTGACCAGTTGTTTGTATAACAGAAAGCACTCTGCATTTTTAAAATTTATATCAACATCCTTAATTTAATCATTTCAGCTGCTTCTGTCTGAGCTGGAGTCAGGTTTCACAGATACCGTAAGTGCTTTATCACTTGGTCATTGAGTAATAGACTTTTCTTGTGCTGAGAAACCTGCTGATAAATTCAATGAAGCAGGCAGCCCAGAATGATGTCAGGGCTGGAAACTCAACAAATCGCTTTTTCTGCTAAACAAACGCATCATACATAGACCACCGGGTCGCGCCGAAAATAACACTCTTCATCGATGAAGTCGTTACCGCCGGAAGGAGTCTCTGTGTTATTTTAAGAGCTAGCGAAGTGTTGAAAGACGAGATGTGATCAAGTAAAATGGCTTCAAATTTTTAAGACTTGTGTTTTATCTTGCTGCAGGAGAGAGAAAGAGATTTTCAGCAGATGTCTACAGTGGCTGAGAGGTGCAAACACCCTGAAAATACATTAACATGCATCGTATAAAAAACAATACTGCAAACACAAAATTTGTAACATATAAATGACTCTTAACATGCAAACAGAACACATTTGAAGGGAAAATGCAAGTAAGAAAAAAACAACTACAAGTAAAGAACGTCTGCAGACTAGCTCCGTTTAACAGAATTGCTCCAGACCACTAGGGGAAGATGACATCAATTCATACGGAACCAGACACTATGGGATGCTACAGAGATTTGGGGGTCCTAAACCCGGGTGGAGTGGGTACTATATAGTGGACTCTATAGGAAATCAGTTAACTGACCGTTCAGATGGATGATCACTACTTTTTAACGTGCATTGTGGGTAATTTCAAGTCAACTAGAGTGTTTTTCCTCCAGCAGACGTTCGGACACTCATTTAAAATGCTATAACTACTAAATAGTGCTCTATCTATAGGGATTAGGGCCATGGTGTTTAAAAAAGATCAACAGGAAAATTACATTTTCATTTCGTCCTCTGGGTGGGCAACTTATTTATGTTTTAAAATTTAATAGAAAACAATTTTATTGACCCACAATGGGGAAATTGTGGTGTTACAGCAACAAAAGATTAACGCCAAAGGTGATTATGCAAATGTGGTCCTAAATAAATTTATGAAAATAACAGAATACATGACAGAGTTAAAAAAAAACAACCAAACAATTAAAATACTGGTTTTTTTTTTTTTTTACAAAGGATATGACCAACATTAATCCCAACAACATTTTAAAACCACTTTAGAGATTTTAGAAAGTTATTTCTCATAGATTATTATTCCTTTAGCCAGAGACCGAACATTGAAAAAACTAAATATATCAGTTGATGGTATCTGATTGGTGATCAAAAATTAAATTACCGAGATATCAAAAATTCCATTATTTTAGGTCTTTAATGCCACTAACCAAAATTCATATTCAATTATCTTTTTATTAAACAAAAAAACTTGAAAGTTAGGGGATTTACCTTTGATAAATGTTTTATATAGGTCTTTGGGTTTCCAGATTTATTTTAAGGTCACTGTTTTTCTGCTGTTTATGTTTTCTATTTGCCATTTTAGTTCATTCATTCACAGATTGGTCCATTTTTGTGTCCTGGTATTATAATTTTGTTAATTTTCTTACTTGTGTTCCCCTCTTCCCTCTGCTGTTCATTATCCCTCCTCCTTCAGGCTGCTTTGCCTTCACTGGTCTCAGCTGCTCCACATCCTCCACTAGATTTTTAAACTATCTTGCTAAATTAACTGAACTCAACTGCATTTTTTTGAAAACCAAGATCTATTTTTTGTAGAGAGCCTAAAGATGATGTGTTGGAGTTGGAGCTTTATAAGTGAATTGAACTGAACTCTTATACTCTTCCCTCTATAAAAACTCATTGGTTTTAATGTTTAGTAGCTGTTTTTTTCTGTTGTTCAGGGTTGTCCAATCTGCCCTATTCACTAGTCCTCGCATCTGATGTAAATTTACCTTTTGTTTCCATTATTAAATCATTTAACTCCTTTTTTAATGTTATTCATAATTCATTGCTTCCAAGTTCCTGCAGTTTAGTCAACGTACCATTTAAGCACAAATGGCAAAATATGGGTAATCATCTCATTTCAAATCTGTTGGATTCAAAACTACTTAAAGGAAATTACAGGACATTCTTTTTACTCCTTAATGTGTCACTTTAAAAGTTGTATTAAAAAACTAAATCAGCATTTCTGACATTAAAGAAATTATTGGTGCATCACTGTTTAGCATTATATGTTAAAGAGAAATCTGGACAGACTTTGGCTGATAGTGGGCCCCTGCTCAGCATTTAAAAAGCTCCAGCCTTCTTTATTTTCCAAGTGAAATAAAAGGGGCCCCACCTGTCTGTCCCTTCCCGAGGGTCTTCTCCAGCCGGTAAGGCCCCACATACTGGCTGGACTGGCTCACAGTTATCTCTTTGCTGCTCATGTTTGACTTTATCCCGCGAAATAAGGCAGATGAAGATCATGTGCGTAACGCCTCAATGCGCATCCCAGACGGTGGAAGAAATAGATGAATAAACAAATAAATAAATAAAGTGGTCGTGATCCGAAGCCGGGGCCCTGCAGGCTACTCCCTTCAACTTGTCAGATCCGGAATCAGATGTGTTTCAGCCCCGCCGGTAATGCAGCATCATCCACATGGAGAGGTGGGAGGAAAGGACCTGTGCGTGGAGCTCACTGGCCTCAGTGGAGCAAAAAAAGAAGAAGAAGGTGGACAGGAAGGCTACTTTAGTCTCAGATTGATTTCTGTTAAGAGTTCAGTCTCAAATAACCCAAGTCAGATCGGCCTGATTGGATCCATCCCGAGGATCAATATCAGGGACCCCCGTCCTCCCGGGCTCCTGCTAGAACATCACACATTTCTAGGCTCCTGTCAATCCAGGGGCCTCTTCTGCTCAGGATCAGCTTGTCTGTTTTTGTCCAGATTATAATCTGCTATCGCAAAGGCAAGAAGAATGGGTTTTCCAATATCCGGTGCAGACTTTGGCTCACCCCCTCCCTGGCCCTGCATTAGGAAGCAGAGGAAGAGGAGGGTGAGGGTAATAAAAAAAAGAAAAGCCTCCGGGAAGGCCGAGGCAGACAGGACAGCTCAGCGGAGCGGTGCGCTCCCTGCGCCGGTGCTGGTGGAGGAGGATCAGTGCTTGGTCCGATGGTTAAATGTTTCTAGAAAAAGACAAACATCCTCCCACTCTCTTTGCTCGCTTCCTGAACGGCTGTGCTGTTCATCTCACGGCATCCCCTCCCTCAGCCGGCGCGCGGATGCTGAGCAAACAACTGAACCGAACCGGATATGAACCACAGAGCGGCTCCTGAAAGAGCCAGAGATCCAGAGAAGGAGCGGCTCTGCTCTGTCTGCTGCAGCCTGCTGCTTCCCCCGCCGGTTCCTTCTCTCTCACACTCCTCTCCCCTTCTCTTCCTCCAGCTTCCTGCTCTCCATCGGTCAGCATCAGCATCCGGGTTCCACTGATGCTGCCCCACCCTTCTCTCTTTCTGAATGCCACTTCCAGTTCCCCCGTAGCAACAAAAGAAAACCTATTTGAACTTCCTGTCTAATGCTTCACCTATATAGAATCATTTATAAACCCCATAAAATAAAATAAAAAATAAATAAATAAATGAAAATCTGAGGAAATCAGACTAAATGAGTCATCTTGGAAAACAGTGGCGGTTCTTGCATAAATATCACCCTGGGACAAATATCCACCCCCACAGGGCCACCCATCTACAGATGATAGATAAATAGATTATAAATAGATTTTTATCTTTTTTTCCTGTTCCTAATCTAATTGTTTTAACCCCGTTAACTTAATAGCAACTATAACTAGCAGGATTACCTGATATTGAGCTGAAAAGTTAGATAGGAAAACATCAAACTTTAAAAAACATTCAGCTGTGGAAGTGATATATATATATATATATATATATATATATATATATATATATATATATATATATATATATATATATATATATATATATATATATATATATATATATATATATATATATATATATATATATATATATATATATATATATATATATATATATATATGGTGGGCATAGATACATTTTTAATCTAAATTAATCTTACTGTAATCTTGGAATCAATCTAGATTAATTCAGATCAATTTGCTCATTTGAATTCTGCCAAATACATTCCTGATGTGTATGTGCTGTCAAAGTCTTGGTTCTGTTAAGTTTTACTTTGCTCCATGTTTTCTAGTTTTATTGGTTTAATTCCTGTGTTGTTGTATTTTCTGGATATATTTGAGTTCTAAGGTTTTTATTTGTTGCCCTCTTGTGTTGGTCCTTTTTTCCCTAGCTCCTTCCCAGACTGCTCTGTTCACACCTGCACCCAATCTGCTCGTTAGTCCTCTCTTTGTTCAGTCTCCCATAAATACACGCTTTGTGCAGTTCCTCACTGATGGTTCCTCGTCTAACATCGTCATACTTTGTCCTACCTCGTCTTACCCTGGCTCCTTGTGATTGTTTTTCCCCGATGTCTTTATGGTTCTGATGTGTTTTACCTTTTTAAGTTTGATTTTTGGATTTGTTGGATTCCTGCCTTTGTTATCTGTGTTTATTCCATTAAATCTTCAACAAACTCACCCGTGCCCCCCTGCCTCTGCATTTGGGTCCAAAACCACAACGAAAACCTTGACATGTGCTACCTCCAGAAGCCTCCTTGAGGTTTTGACAAAGTAATAAATACTTTTTATACTCCTTTGTTACTGTGTTTTTGCTGCAAAATATAGAGGGTTCCACTTCCAATTATAGATGTCCCACTTAACAAAAAAGTTTCGATCAACTTCTCATTGTTCTGGTCATGTATTTTCCTCATGATAGTTTGCCTCATGGTAGTTTGAGATGGGACCCCTGCAGCTCCAGCCTATCAGCTCGTTCTTCAGGCGACTACAGGTAATTTAGCCCAGTCACACTTTTGCAGTTGGCAGATAACTGCAATTCATCCACCCATGTCCTCTCTAGTTCCATCCTTCTGTCAAAGCTGAAAGCCTTCTGTCTGAGACAGAGATGGATCCCCAACCTAAAGAAAACTATTGTCTCAAAAATGTGTCTGGTTCCAACAAAAGCAAGACAAACAAAAATGCAAGCTGTTATTTTCTCTTTTTAGGAACACCATTAAAACCCTGGTTTGGATAACAGAGGGATTAGGCTGCCTGGACATAATCTGGGTTCATTATGTGAAAATGTTCTACATGTGATTAAGTCTCCTTCAAGTAATAGAAAACGGACACAATATTCAGATGATGTCAACATAAAAAAAACTAAACCTGATGCACTGCTTTGTCTAACCATTGCAGGCATTCCAAGAGATATGCTCAGCATTACTTTATGTGCCCAAGGTCCACGCTGTGATGTCTGCATGACGTTGATTCCAAAGACTTAATCCCTTTTAATCTTAATCTCTGGATATGGTCAGGTTGATGCAGTTCAGATTATCTAAAAGCATCACATTGAAGTATGAAAGTACGCAAATGTATCTCTGACACACTGATGTACATTGTGACCTTTATGTAATAAATCCATTAATATAATTTTTTAATTATTTCTTTATTAATAAAGCTCCATTTTTATTTCACAATTTTATTTTTCCCCCCATATCTCTTTGACATGAAGCCTTGATAAAATGTTGGCACATTGTTACTGCAAAGCTAGATGCAGCTTATTTTGTTGTATAATATTTCTACTTATTAAAAGCTGAAAACCATCATTCTCTGGCATAGGTGGTTCTAAAGAGTTGTTAAAAGGGGCCAGTGCCCCTATAAACTGGTTCTGGCCACTGTACTGAAAACATAATACCGAGTATCTATAAATAATTTAATGAATTGGTCTCTTGGATCTTTTTCTTTTTTTTTTTACTTTTACAGTTTTATTTCAACCATTATTTAAATTGAAATTTAGATTACACTTTTAGTTTCAATTACATTAAGATAATTCACAGTTTAGGGGTACAATTTTATGGCAAATAACCGATCTTTAAAAACACAAGCTGATTCTTATGTCCTTTATATCATTTGTTATAAATTCAAAGTAAACCTCAAATGTTTCATTTTATTTTATTCAAATAAAAAGAAAAACACGTGAAAGTATAAAAAATGTTTTAACTCAAAAACATACCATAACACTTTAAAATATAGATGAAAAGTTAAGAGCATTGAAATTTTCTGTTTTTAAGACCTTTGCAGAGGTTGGTACACTTGGTGGTTAGGATCGATTTCCATCTAAGTTTCTGTCAATCATCAATCTGCCAAAGTTTGTGCAATCAGGCTCAACAATGTCATGATCTTGGCACTGATGCCTAGTCTGATCACTTCTTTCACACACCTGCTATGCTCACTACTGATTACCTGCTTGTCTGATTAACCTGCAATAGCCTTTATTTAACCATCCATAAGAGCAGCCATCAGTGCCAGATTATTTTGAGCCGTATGGTGAGACTTACTCAAGCGTACTTTTGGTCTGACTGCCTGATCCTGATCTGTTCTCCCTCTCGACCTCTGATTCTGCCTATTCCGGTCTGATCTGTCTGCTTATGTACTGTCCGGAACCGTTTCCTGACCACTGAGTCTGCCTGCCCTCATCTAGCCTGTCAGCCCCATTGTGTACGGAACTGTACACATGGAACTGTGACCAGACACTGTCTTGGATTCTCCCTCGGTGCCTCAGTGCATCTCTGACCTCCTGGCTCTGACAACCATAAACGTCTTTGACATGAGCTTTGACTTTGCCCTTTGGATTATCCTGTCTACATCCGTCTTTTTGGTTTTGACCTGCTGCCTGTCCTCTGACCTTTACTATGCCTGCGTCTGGGAGTCTCTGTGCGGCAACCGCTGCACTGCGCTGGCAGCCAGCCGGCCAGGTTAGTGACTCACTCGTTTGTGATCATTCACTTATAGAAACATGTGGTCACTAACCTGCTGTCTCCATCAGCAGGTTCTTGCCTTAGATGCCCAAGCCGTCCACCCGATTCTGTTGTTAATAAAATGTTCTGAACAATCTCACTGTTTTGTCTGGAGTTACTGGATCCTTCTGATCTGATCAACATAAAATCAAGCAATGAAACCTCACTTTTTACCTTCTACAGGTGCTGGTCATAAAATTAGAATATCATGAAAAAGTAGATTGATTTCAGTAATTCCATTTAAAAAGTGAAACTTGTATATTATATTCATACATTACATACAAACTCATATATTTCAGATGTTTATTTTGTTTAATTTTGATGATTACAAATGACAACAAATGAAAATCTCAAATTCATCATATCAGAAAATTAGAATATTACTGAAGACCAATAAAAACAAAGGATTTATAGAAATGTTGGCCAACTGAAAAGTATGAACATGAAAAGTATGAGCATGTACAGCACTCAGTATTTAGTTGGGCCTCCTTTGGCCTGTATTACTGCAGCAATGCGGCGTGGCATGGAGTCGATCAGTCTGTGGCACTGCTCAGGTGTTATGATAGCCCAGGTTGCTCTAATAGTGGCTTTTAGCTCTTCTGAATTGTTGGGTCTGGTGTATTGCATCTTCTTCTTCACAATACCCCATAGATTTTCTATGGGGTTAAGGTCAGGAGAGTTTGCTGGCCAATTAAGAACAGGGATACCATGGTCCTTCAACCAGGTACTGGTAGCTTTGGCACTGTGTGCAGGTGCCAAGTCCTGTTGGAAAATGAAATCTGCATCTCCAAAAAGTTGGTCAGCTGCAGGAAGCATGAAGTGCTCTAAAACTTCCTGGTATGTGGCTGCGTTGACCCTGGACCTCAGAAAACACAATGGACCAACACCAGCAGATGACATGGCACCCCAAACCATCACTGACTGTGGAAACTTTACACTGGACTTCAAGCAACGTGGATGAAGTGCCTCTCTTCTTTTCCTCCAGACTCTGGGACCTTGATTTCCAAAGGAAATGCAAAATTTACTTTCATCAGAGAACATGACTTTGGACCACTCACCAGCAGTCCAGTCCTGTTTCTCTTTAGCCCAGGCAAGACGCTTCTGACGCTGTCTGTGGTTCAAGAGTGGCTTGACACAAGGAATGCGACAGCAGAAACCCATGTCTTTCATACGTCTGTGTGTGGTGGTTCTTGAAGCACTCACTCCAGCTGCAGTCCACTCTTTGTGAATCTCCCCCACATTTTTGAAGGGGTTTTGTTTCACAATCCTCTCCAGGGTGCGGTTATCTCTCTTGCTTGTACACTTTTTTCGACCACATCTTTTCCTTCCCTTCGCCTCTCTATTAATGTGCTTGGACACTGAGCTCTGTGAACAGCCAGCCTCTTTAGCGATGACCTTTTGTGTCTTGCCCTCCTTGTGCAAGGTGTCGATGGTCGTCTTTTGGACAACTGTCAAGTCAGCAGTCTTCCCCATGATTGTGTAGCCTATAGAACTAGACTGAAAGACCATTTAAAGGCTTTTGCAGGTGGTTTGAGTTAATTAGCTGATTAGAGTGTGGCACCAGGGGCCATCAATTTTGAACCTTTTCACAATATTCTAATTTTCTGATATGATGAATTTGAGATTTTCATTTGTTGTCATTTGTAATCATCAAAATTAAACAAAATAAACATCTGAAATATATGAGTTTGTATGTAATGTATGAATATAATATACAAGTTTCACTTTTTAAATGGAATTACTGAAATCAATCTACTTTTTCATGATATTCTAATTTTATGACCAGCACCTGTATACCTGGCTTTTTGGTCCTTTTTCTCAATGAAACTATTGCCATATTTTTGTTTCATGTTTTTTTTTCTCCATGAAAAAAACTGACCCTAGCCTTCTCCCGCTGGTAACATTAGTCTAGAGCTACCTCTGCTCTCCTGTCAATTTAGGCCCCTTCCCTATGATACCTCTAAGTAAATCTTCTCAGTGTAATGCAGCAAAGCATGACATTTTTGGCATAGATGTAGATTAACTATAATTGAAAAACACATTTTAATTGATCCAAATGAAAAATAAAACATTGTTGTAACTCTTAAAGACTTGTTTTAACAAGTTGTTTTAATAGGTGAAGGCAGGAAGAATCTCCTGCAGCAGTCTGTATTGCTGCAGATCTTACTCAGTTAGTTCAACAATCTTCTGAAGAGGATGGCAGCAAAATGCTAGATGTTACAGAAAGGTTATATCTGCCTACAAGTCAACGTCTATATTTAGGTCCATTCAAGAATCTGAGGCAAGACTTTAAAGTTACTGTTCACAGAAGTTCTCCTTACAATCTAATGGATCAAACAATCTATATTTCTCTCTTCAGACGTGCCAACTGACAGACACCTACACCCAGAATTGCACTGTAATTTTGCAAAAAGATGGTTTACAAAGCATGGAGGGGAAAAAAAGAAATTCAAGGAACATTTTTCAGATATAGCTTTTTTTTTTATTTATAAACGTGCACTACTGTCTGATAGTTTATCACAATAAACCACAGGAAAATATGTTAACTTATGTTTTTAGTAATTTCTTAAATTTACAGGGTATAATACTTTAGCCATCCACTGTTTATCCATTGAGAGATCTAAGCTCCATTACCAGCTCATAGGACCATTGGGAAAGATTTTTATCAGTGTTTAGTCACAGTGAGGTTTTCCTGTATGAAGATGCAATAGAAACATCTCAGCTCCCTTCAGCACTAAGTCACCTGGAAAGTCACCAAATATTTCCCGTTTCTCATTTAAAGAGATCATGCGATTGGGTTGAGGATGAGGAGGGTGACCATCAGGCACTTTGGCAACATATTGAGAAATAGTTCCAAAAAGATTGAACAAACCAACTTCTAGAGTGTTTCCTAACTTATTATTTTAGATATATTTTAGAAAATTTAAATGTTCTTCCCTTCTGTTTTTTTTTGGTAAAAAGGGCTTCAGAACAACCTAAATGCAAAAACGGGATGCCAGCAGTGTGATTAAGATGCTTTTTTCTTTTTTTTGAAGACAGATACAAAATGAATCAATTTAATTCATTTTATTTACATGCGCCAATTCACAACACATGTCATCTCCACACACTTTTACAGTTGAACTGTAAAGTGTCTTGATTTCACTTTACAGTTCATTTTTAATATGAATTAATTTTTGACAATTTTCATATTAAAGGATTTAAAACATATATAAAACCTGGTTATCCGTGACAGATCTTTTACAGACTCTAAGGTAAGTACAGTACATTATTTTAACCACAAGATGGTGCTGTAATCTATGCTATGTGGTTTTATCCCTATGAAGGTGTGTTAAATGAAGCTGATGTTAGCAAGTATTTGTCCAAAACTCTTGTTTTACCAGAATCAAACATGGCTTTAGGTTGGAGGCAGGTATATCTTTAAAAGAAAGAAAAGTACAAATTTTGCACCAACAATGGTTTATATGGTAAAATTGTGGACCGCCCTAAGATGGTCCTGCCCATTTGAGCTATTCCTAAATCAGGTAAACATGTAACAGTAAAGAGTAGATATTATCAGCTGCAGTCCGTTATCCTGTTCTAACATTACAGTTCTAATTGTAAGTATTGGTTTTCTCAGTTTTATGTAAAAAAAAAAAAGAAAAAAAGATATTGGTAAAAGTGACATTTGTTTGTGTTCTTTATGCATATGAGTCTTACAAAATGCAATAACTTGCACATATAGTCTGTTTGCCTGCATCATTTATAAACATAAAATTTGGTGTTATTATCCAACAGTTGCTCAAATTGCCTTTCTACTGAATATTTTTTTCTTTTTATTCTGGGATTACTACTTTTTACTTTTATATGAGTGAAAAAAATGTTACATTAGTACCTGTGTACAAGGTTTGGGTACTCTACCCACCGCTGCTGACAGCTCTGATTAGGTTACCTGTTCATCGCTGCTGCAATGGCGTTCACCTGTTATATAGTCAATAAAAAAAGCACTCAGACACAACCTCTGTCCAGCTTCAAATCAGACTTATCCTTGCTTGTCAGCACAGGCAACACTTTGTTAATCTCCAACACACTTATTGGGTATGGCGTCAGCTGCACGACGTGGATGTAGGCAGTGGAAGGATCTCGTGCCTTCCTTTGCACTCTATGTGGCCAAGCCGCTTCGGGCGGCTGACCATGTCGCCTATATCAGAAACCACCCTTGGTTTGTTGTTTCAGGTTATAACTATATGTTAATAATGAGGACATTTGTACATATTAAATAACAAATAGAGTATATAAAATTAAATGAAAATATTTATTAGAGCTGTTTAGAAAAACCTCATATGCTAAGATGTTTGTAATTTTGGGTACAGTACAGTTTGCAAGAATTTGATAAGCTTTAAAACTGAAACCTAACACCCTTTTTTTCTTCAGGCGCATCTCCATAGTAATGCAGTAAGTCACGGTATGTGGAATCGACCTTTGGTATTTAACATGAAGTCATGATACATCTGATGTTAAGCGCTGAGCCTCTGTATCAGTCTGTGCATGATTGATAGACATACACACGTGTAGACACAGTTATTGTTCCCCCTCCTCTACTTTACTAGAACTGCATCTCTTTGTATGTAATGAGTCCATACAATCAGGACAATGAAATTCCTGAATTAAATGATCTTTTCTTTTAGATTCTAATCTAGTGAAGTGTCTCTGTTGTTTGATCCATGCCTCTAGAACTTATCATGTAAGACAAGCTTGTGCTTCTTTGCCATTAGGAAAAAGAGGTCTTCTTTCTCCTAGATGAACACCAACTGTAGACCTTCCTCTATGAAGCTTAGGATCTCATGTGAAAGAAAAGCAAAGGCAAATAAGTGTCAGAATTGACCCCCTGGGGCAGCCAAAAACAGCTGGGGGGTCTCGGGTGTGCTTGCATGAATCTGATACCTTGGCTCTGTCTCAGTGAAGCTGAATACCTTTCAGCCAGTGGCGATTTCTTATTGAATACTAGGGAGGCTAAACCTCCCCAGTAAATTTAATAAAACTCAGTTGTTAAAATAAGCATGGTTAAACTTCAGTAGTCACTGAACAGGATTAAATATGCATTGAAATGCACCTAATTTCACGAGTACGTTACTCATTATGGTGTACATTAATTTCCCCCCTGTTCTAGAGCAGTGGCATAGAAGGCCGCTGTCTGTCAGCCTCTTTTAGAATTCCCTGTTGAGGTTTGAGCCTCGGTCTATTGAGGTAAGCAGAGAGAAAGTAGAGACCTGATTGGACAATATGCCAGAATAAATCACTTCCAGTGACATTTTTGAATATGGGGCCTGCCTTTTCCAGGCATAAATCCTGAAGGCCCTCCCACTGAATTTCTCCATGTGGTATTGAGAAGTTAAGAAAAAACTAAAAAGTTTGAAATGACAAACAGAAAAACAAACAACAATATCAAACACTAGATCAACTGATCCAGTGGTTGAGAGGCTCTTATCATTTAATCCAAACATAAGAAAAAAAAAACAATTGTAAAAATATTTTTCAACACCAACTATTTTATTCTTTATTTCCATTTATAAGCATTTATCTCGATCGACAGTTACATCAAAGCCCATCATCTCGCTGGAATTCTCAATGTACTGGATATCGGCTGTAGAGGGAGAAGGGGAATGATGGTAACACTGAGGGACACCGGATAAGGTTAAAACAGGAAAAGGAACAGGGGCCGAGGAAACTAAGGTTTCTGCTTCCAAATCCCAAACTCAGACTGATCAACACCTTGCTTGTCCCACAATAATCATCTTTTTGTTATCATAATTCAGTCGAGTGCTGTTGTGCAGAAGGGAATGCTGGGAACTTGGAGGACTCAGTGCATTGGACCTGGAAGAAAGAAGAGGTATATAAGACAGTCACATTGACGGCTGATCCAGACGTTTGAGCTTTTTAACTTTGCTTTTGTTTTGCTTCAACATGTAGTTTCTCCTCTTTAAACTCTACATTGCAAACCTGTAATTGTACAACTTACTACCACCTAGCAGTACAGGAAACTCTATTTCATTATCCCCAACAGCATTATCCATGTGATTGTATCCTGACTTCTACATTTCTCTCATATACAGTAGAAAATACTCCTCGTTCAGTGCTTCTGGGTTTTTCTTGAGTATGTCTTTTTTTTTTTCTGCTCAAACACCAACAAATGGGTCAAGATTTGAGGCAAGCAGAATCTGGCTTCAACAACGATTTAGTAAGGTTGTAAAATATTTCAATACTCTGAAAATAACTGATACTCAAATCAAATGGTGTATCTAGATACAGTTCCATATATATATATATATATATATATATATATATATATATATATATATATACCGGTATATATTACATAAAAGTTAGATTTATGGATTATTTTCACATTAAACAATAAGACCTCACACCTTAAATACTGCCAAGTTAAGTTCTATTTAAGGTTAATTATTTAGCATTTATGCAGCATCTGTGATCCTGTTGATTAATCATATTTCATGCTGAGGTTGAAAAGGTGGTTTTTACATTGATAAGTTACCTTTATGGCTGCAATTATTTGGCTTTTTGTTTTAATCCCCATGGTATCCAAAATGGTACAGAGTAGAAGACATTTTCCTGGATATAACTGCAATCTCCCCATTTGTTCGGTAATGTTTTTTCACCTTTTAATAAAAATGTCCTCCTTCATCCCTCTTTTAAACCATCTCTCTTCTCTGTCTAAAATCTGAAATTGTGAATGTCACAAGTTAGCTCTTTGTTTTCGAGTGCAGCTTTCCTGCTCTGCACCTTTTGTTTGTGTTTGTTGTTTGGTTTCCATAAAATAGAAGTCCAAACAGTCCTAGATGCATTACACTGCCTAAACTATGTCACTCAGCTTTGGTCATTCCAACATAAAAACTCACTAGTTGTGTCTTGTGTCATTCTTATTTTATGCTGTTTTAAAAAAACATCAGCGCTCCGACAACAGACTTATTTTAGGGTGATATGTAAGAATTGAAAAAGGTATTTGCATATGCCAATTTTTTTTTATTTTTTTGCTATTGTATATCTGCAATTAAATATATTAGACTTGTGGAATATATTAGAAATGTGGAAGTGCTAAAGGTTAGTGAATATTTTTCAAAGCACGCTAAAAAAAACTTTTTGAGCGTCATCAAATACGTCACAGTAATTGAATTTCCAGCTGTTCTGAGCTCAGCTGTAATGCCCAAATCTGACTCAGGTGATTACGCAACATCCTTACATGTCAGACTGGGGGGTGACTCCTCACGATGTCCCCTCAGCTGCGCTCTTCACACAAGCGGCGAAGGCCTCCATCAGCCCTTTGCAGCCCTCGGCTCCCTTCTCTGCCACGCTGCAAGACAGATTGAACAAATTAGACCAAAAACTTGGCTAACCTAAAATCCTGAATGTCAATTTCTGTCCTTGGTCAGCAGAGTCTGCATCCGCCTAAATCCTGTTGACTAAACAGATGCTTGTTTTAAGTGCTAACAGACCTGAAAAGGCAACATGAGCAGAAGCACGTCCAACGTAAAGAGAGCCCAAATGAGAGGGAATTTAGGGATAAAACAATTGGGGTTTAAAAAGGGAATTCTCTGCTGTAGATTAACACAGGCTCCCATTCAGGAGCAAAAGCAGCAGCCGACACTGCCACAGAGGATTAGGGTGATGGAGCGAAAGGGGAGGAGGAGGGGAGACAGAAAATAGCTGAGAGGAGGGAGAGACAGGGAAAAGCTATGAGGATGGGCCCATATGTTTGATGGGACATTAGAGGGGGAGGGAAAAGAGCGGTTGCGTGATAAAACGGAGGAAGAAGAGTCATCAACGGGGAGGAGTGTCAGGTTGCATGACTTGAATCTCATCTTCTGGCTCCTCCCAGGGCTTCTTCATCTATCAGAGGTTAGCTTCTCTGCCAATCTTTTTTCCACACTGAAACAGTGTTTCACAATGAATCTTATTAAATTATTTTTTTAATTCACACAGGTAACCATTTTTTTTTATGTGTTTTGTTTCCTTAGTGGTAAGGTTTTCACTCCAAAATAACATCTAATCAACCAAAACTTTCACGACCCCCATGCAGTACCTCTGTGTATGCCTATACAATGAAGAACCAAAAAAACCACTTGATCATGATAAAATAAGGTTATATACATGTACTCCAGGCGTCTACTATATAATTTTTTTTTAAGTACATTTCTGAGTCTAAATGAAATTCCGGCACTGTGGGCAAAGAGCATAATATAAACAGGATATAAACAGATCTTCTAGAAATACCTTGGAACTATCAGAAAGTCAGATGGCGACAATTGAGGATGCTACTTCTTAGAACCCGACTGAGCCTGACCGTTCTGCTATTTCACAGTAAAGTGGTCAAAGACCAACTGATAATTAAATTAACTACTATCCAGCAACTCTAAGTTCTGGTGAATCCTCCCCAGAACCTCCTACCAGAACGTCAAGAACAAAGAAATTCTCATTCCTGACAAAATATAATTTTATTTTAGTCTAGACCATAGAGATTAAGAATAACATTGCTGTCACCAAAGCCTGATTTAATAAGGACATTTACTCACACATTCATCAACTTAGCTTCCACATCTGAACACCTCTGCAGGTTTAGTTTCTGCTTCATTGAACTCCAACATAGGACTGTTTTTTGAGAGCCATTCCAGTCTCATCCCTCGAGGAATCAAATATTTTTATATATGTTCAGAGTGAATATTTCATATTTCTTTAGGATTTTACCACTTGGCTTTGAGGTGCTAACTGGCCTAGCCATAGTAGGCTTCTTGCTTGTTAGTCCCCTGCACACATGCACTGTATCGTGCCTCACTTGTGATTGGAAATATACACCAAAAGCTTTATTGACAAATAAATTAAACAAAGATGAAGTGAAAAACACATTAATGCCAAATAAAATAATTATGGATTACAGCTATGGTGTAAAAAGAAAAATACCCAGCACTGTTTAATGACTAAATGTTGGTTATTTCATTACAAATTAACAAGTGTTAACACATAAATAATTAAATTAGAGGAAGAAGGCTACAAAACTCGAAGATGGTGATTTAAGAACAAAGAAACTAATAAATGAATAATGGAAGATTTAAGGGACTGAAAAAACTGATTCATGCTGACTCATCAATGTTTCACAAAAGTAATGATTTAAGTACCTTCTGCAACTGTTCAAAGCTATGGAAAAATATACACTAAAATGTTTTTACTTTATTATTATGAAATCTGCAAAGAAATAAACACAACAAAGGAGATAAATAATTTAAAAAAAATATTTATTTTTTCAGTAATACGTATTTCGAATTTTCATTTCTAGATTAGATTATCTTTGCTAACAACAATAATAGAATAAAATTCAACTAAAGATGCTTTTGGATAAACAAGATCCATATGAATGCTTTTCAAATGAAGCTTGCGAGAATTTCACTACAGTTTAACTTGTGGTATATATAAAAAATAATAATAATAATATTTTAACTTTATTGATCTCACATTGGAGAAATTTACCTCTCTATTTAACCCATCCCCATCCCATCCCCACGATGGCAGCAGTGGGAAGCCATCGTGGGCCGCCGGGGGAGCAGTTTGGGGTTAAAGGTCTTGCTCAGAGACCCAGAGTGGCAGTCTGTGGGAGTGGGGCTCGAACTCAGAACCTCAGGATTCCAAGCTCTATACCCTTACCAGTATTCTGCCACTCCCAGGATACTCAAATAATTAGCTCAATTCACAATACACCTCATCTCAAGCGACTTTACAGAGACATTTCAACCAGATCATACAGTCAGATTGCTTCAAAGTTTTCTATCTAAGGAAAACCAGTTGATTACATCGACTCATTGACTCTTCAACAATCCCTCACACTAAGCATGCTTGTAGCGACAGTGGAGAGGAAAAGCTCCCTTTTAACAGGAAGAAACCTCCAGCAGAACCAGACTGTGTGAGCGGCCATCTGCTGAGGCTTTGAATCAATTTGACTGCACAGTATGATCTGCTGAAATGTAAAGTGCCTTGAGATAACATGTGTTGTAAATTAGCGCTACATAAAAACTCAATTGAATACATTTCTGTGATAGCCTATGTATTTCCTCTATTTAAAAAACCGAATATATGAATAACTTTATTGTTCTCAGTTTTATTACATAAGCTTTAAATCCTTTTTAATCAGATTTTATGAGCAATCACTCAACACTTAAGCAGCCGTTTTATCATTAACTTTTTTTTTAAATCTTTACTTGAGTAATTTCCATGTTGGCTACTTTTTGCTTTTAATTGAGTAAAAATATGTTGAGCTACCCATCTCGGCTACTACTATTTTTTAGGACATATTAACACCAGGCATGAATTAATTGACAGATCCAATTCCCTATTTTAATGTGAAAACCAAATAATTCCCACCCTATATTGTTCCTATATTGTTTATAATGAAAAACCAAACCAGAAAAGAGAAAATTAAGGATTAACCTCAGAGCCACCCTTTGTTGCTTCCCCTCATTTTAAACCTCTGTTGTTCATTAAAAATAAAGAGGAAAAACCCCACATATCGGTTTTCAACTCTTTATCAGGGGGTAAAACAGCGTCGTCAGAGCAGCCTCCTCATGTTGTTATCTATTATATTTCATTCACCAGTTTACCACGCTCCCCTCTCTGCTACTTTGTGTTGTCAGATGCTCAACAGTGATGTAACATCCAGCTGCCTGCTGCAGATTATCATTTCCAGTTTTACTTGGCCTGAATGGGAATGGAGCAGAGTGTGTGTTTGTGTGTTGTTTGCGAGGATGTGGGAAAAAACGGCCACTGAGTGTACACTGCACACATGTGTGCTTGGACGGAGCTGAAATGTGCCTGTATCTGATGCACCACCATGATGACCCAACAAGGGACCACCAGCACCCTGAGGGTGTTAAAAAAGCAATACTACAGGAGCTGCATCTGCCCAGTGGAACAATGTAAAGAAGAAATGTATTTTCTAGTCTCCCAGCTTTCCCTCTTTATTTCATACAGATATTAGGTACAGATATTACATCCAAGTATTTATTGAAGTATGCTCACTGACTGAGGGGATTATAGACAGCAGGGCCAAACATATAAGGTTGATGACATCATCACCAACAAAGCCATTGTGTAATGTCCCGAGAGAATCGTTAAAGGTTCAAGGGTCAAAGCTGATCTTTCACAGCAACATGTCCAGTTGACCACATTCTGGGCTTAAAGAGTGATGTCGCCCTCTCCGGCAGGAAGTGAATGTTGAATTATTCAGGCTGAGCTAGGTGTAGTCAGTCAACAGGGGCGGGGGATATACAAAAAACATCACTGGGCAGGTGCAGAGGTTAGAAGATGATGTGAAAATGAGCATTAGTGAGGGGATCTTATGTTTAGTCTTAGCTTAGCAGCTCAGTTTTACCGGGAGAGCAGGTGGAAAGGGGGGAAATTCTGCCTGACTCCCTTGTGAAGGGGAATGATTCCCATGTAGCAGATCACTGGGATGGTTTATAAATCCCTGAATAAAGTCAACATCAAGATTATCAGTTAAAGAGTTTCTAAAAGTGACATAAACCAGATTTTACTTTCACTTAAAGGGGATAGTTTGGAGTTTTTTCTTCAAGTAGGTTCTATTACAGAGCAGTTTTAAGCAGTTAGCAGTTTACCTGCAGCAGAATGATCTCAGTGTGTGGAAATCTTTTCTAATAGGGAGGTTCAGGTTAATGCAACTTTAAAAACATTTTATTAACGATCACTTTTAGAAATCAATTGCACAGCTCTCCACAATTACCCTAATGAGTGTATCTATTCCCCAGGTGCTGAGAAACCGAATTTAGACTCTACCAGCCAGCTGCTATCTAATAAAGAAAATAAAAGCAAACAAAAAACAAGGTGATTTGAAAATGAGAAAACAGAGAGAAATCAGCTGGTTTTGGTTTTAATCATTTTTAACTCGGACCTGACTTGTTTAATGATCAATAGGAACATAAAAAAAATCAAAAACTTTCACTGATCAGTGAATGATCAATACCTAAGCACAAACTAAATCCGCTGACAAAAAGCGGATGCTGTAGGAGCAACACTCAATGTCAGATGTTTTAAAGATTAGTTAGAGGCTAACAATGAAATTATAAATCTAGACTTTGGTTACTAGATCAGAAATTAAAAAACAATTTCCAATCAATTAAAAAAAAAACTTAATATGACATCAGTCATTTCGTCAGAACAATCTATAACTACATTTAGCATAACAATATAAAAATAATGTGGTGGTGCTGCTCACTTAATTTCTTGTGCTTTTGCAGCTACTTACAATAAGGAATTCCTTAGAGATACTTATTTAAATCACTAAATGAACTA